CCGCGTGCGAATTGCGCCGCGGAGGCACTCGGTGGAGCTCCCTATGGAGCCGCGAAACGTGTGATGGGTGTGCCGAACTGGCTGGGGATCTGCCTGCGAATTGCGCCGCAGAGGCCGAGCGCCACGCGCGCCAGCACCTCCTCGTCCACCACCTCCGCTGAGAACCTGGCGCTGCTTCTTGCTGTTGGCAAGGGGCGTGTTCGCCCAGTTTCGCCCACCGGGGGCCCCACCGCCACCGAGAACCCATCGGGGGGGGGGCCCCTGGGCGGTGGCACGCCTGAGCGTCGTCCGGTACCGGGTCGGCATACGCTGCGCTGGGACAGCGGCTCGAGGACGTCGGGGTGTCTGCGCGCGCCAGGGCACCCGGGTCGCCCAGCCTCGCGCGCGCAAGGCGCCCTGTGCGCGCGAGGCGCGCGCTCGCATCGGCGTTGTCGGGGGGGCTTCCCCTTAAACGAGGCGTACAAGAAGAGGAAGGAAGAGAAGGATTGGGGTGGATTCGTATCGCTGGGCACCCGCACGGCATTGCTTGGAGAACGTTCTCCTGAGCAGTGGTGGAGTGTTGGCTCCATTTGTGCAGTGTTCCTCCTTCCTTCCCTCCTCCTTCCTCCCTCCTCGTCCTCCTTCTCCTCCTCCTCCTCCTCGTTCTCCTCCTCCTCCTCCTCCTCCTGCACCTCCACCTCCTCGTCCTCCTCATCCTCCTCCTCCACCTCCTCGTTCTCGTCCTCATCCTTCTCCTCCTTCTCCTCCTCCTCCTCCTCCTCCTCCTCCTCCTCCTCCTCCTCCTCCTGCTCCTCCTTCTGCTGCTGGCGGTTGATGAAGGTAGTCCTGCAACCGCCTTCCTCCTCCTGCTCCTCCTGCTCCTCCTGCTCCTCCTCCTCCACCTCCGCACGCTCGACTCCTCCTCCTCCTCCTCCTCCCGCCCCGTCCGAGGCCGAGTCTGGAGCGACCATGTTTCTGCTCCCGCCACGTTGGGCTCTGCGATTGTCAGTGATTGTACGTATCATACGAACGGTTGGACGCCGTCGGGGGTCCGCACACAATGAATTCTGCCCAGTGTTGATGGCGCTGCGAGTGATTGTGAATGCTGTCCTGTTCTGTGGAAAAGAGAGGGATGGAAAGAAGGAAGGCGCCGATAGGAGGAGCAGGAGGCAGAGCAGAACGGGCACGGGGGCGTCTCTCTGACTCGCCCCGCATGCCTGCCTCGTGAGGGCCTCATGTGAGCCCGTCCCCGACTGGATCCCACTGGCCTGTGGAGGCCTTCTGAGGCCTGGGGTCGGGCGCCAGTCAGTTCGCAGAGAACTGCAGGCCATGGAGCTGGCTGCCAGGCGCCGAACATAACGAAAACAAGACTCCAACGCGAGGCTCGCCGAGCCGCCAGAGGTCTAGTGGCGGGAAGTTTGGCTTAGCGTGTCGTTCCGACGGTTCTGGCCCAACACGCCTCGGTGCGACACGCTATCCACGTACCCACTCCCAAACGTCCCGAGCCTGTACCCGCATCCCGCCCTGCGGAGCGGGGCGACACGCTGTCCGCTCGCAAGGCATAGCGTGTCGCCGGGGCCGCCGCCGCGACTCGGCATGCAAAGGTTCCCGGCCGTAGATCCATCCCCCTCAGAAAGCGGCCGCTGGGCCTGTCCCGGGGTGCCTGCGGACCAGAATCCCGCGGCGGATTCGGCCGCAGCAGCGAGTCCGAGTCGGCAAAGGCAGCCTGGGGGATCGGTCTTCGGGGACCTCGGCGGGCGGGGGATGTGGATAGACGCGGGCCCCGGAGGCCAGATCTGGACGCACTCCACCACCAGCAGCGGAGGTCCCATCTCCCATGCGGCAACGGTTCATGGGCAGATGCCCGCCTCGCAGGAGCAGGGGCAGGGGGAGTCGCGACACACACGACCGCGGCCTCTCCTTCGAGCACGCCGGCCATGACCGGGTCGGACCTCTCACGGCCACGGGTCGGCGGCGAGGTCCGAGTTTCTTCTGCTTGCCGAGCGGCACCGTGCCCTCGGGCCGTGGCGACGAGGACACCCGAGAGCATCCCCCCAGCCAAAAGACCTGTATTCGAGCCTCCGATCCTCGGAGGCCTCCCCGCGGGTGCCTTCTCCCGCCCCCAGGTCGCTAGCGGAGGACGGGGGCTCCTTGCTCGAGCAGGCGCGCGGGCAGAGGGGGAGCGTGGGGGAGGACGGGGGAGCGAGGAGGAGGAGGAGGGAGGAGGGATGAGGGAGGAAGAGCGATGGGGAAGAGAAGGAGGAGGAGGAGGAGGAGGAGGAGTGTAAACTCAAGATGCGTCAACGATGTTGCAATTAACCCTCCCTGCAAGTTCCTTCTACAAGTATCCCTAAACTTGTTCTCATTGCGGGAAGTGGCCCATCAGAAGACAATCGTCTGAGAATCTTCCATCGTGCGAAAACACAGTTCCTGCGTCTTCGACGCCGCGAATCAACGTGACTGTTGGGGCTTCACCACTGCGAGTCAGTGTGACCGTTGAGCTCTGAGCGCCAGAACACCACTCCTGGGACTTCGACTATACGAATGTTTGAAACGGCTGTAGGCATGTAAGACGAATGCTCGCGGCGCTAAGGCGAGAGCCACAGTTTGAATACGGCCTGCCCTCCATCTGTGAAGCTGTGCCAAACGTTTAAAACGAACGTGCGCGGCGCAGAAGCGAGAGCCACATTTTGAAAACCGCCCGCCCCCCCCCCCCAATCCAGAAGTTTGCTGCACACTGTTCAAATTAATGTACGCGGTGCCTAAACGAAAGCCACATGTTGAAAACAACCTGCTCTCCATCCGTGAAGCAATTGCAAATGGAAAGTTTCAGGATCACAGATGGCGATGATGTCTCAGGCGAAAAACCTGGCCTGTCCTACCCACACGCAGAAGTTACTTAGAAGGAAACTGGACTGAGGAGGGGGACGCTAGACGAAGCAAGGTACTTCTTCGGAGGAAGAACATCCGAGACGTCTTATGGAACACGGAGGGAGGAGAGGAGGAGGAAGAGGAGGAGGAGGAGGAGGAGGAGGAAGAGGAGGAGGAGGAGGAGGAGGAGGAGGAGAAGAAGGACGAGGAGGAGGAGGACGACAACGACGAGGAGGAGCGAGGAGAAAGGAGGGAGGAGGGAGGAGGGAGGAGGGAAGAGGCCGAGTGAGGGAGGGAGGGCGGGAGAAGCAGGGAGGGAGGAGGAGGAGAAGAAGGAGGAGGAGGAGGAGGAGCGAGAAGCGAGGAGCGAGGAGCGAGGAGGGATGAGGAGAGCGAGGGAGGGAGGGAGGAGGGAGGAGGATGTTGGATCGTGGATCTGATTCAACCGCTGGCTGGTCAGAAGTAGGAGCGGCACCCAACTTGCAAAATGAGGCCGGAGCTGGACCCCAAACAGTGCACACACGTGCCACTTCTATATATATATATATATATATATATATAATTTCCTCTTCCTATATTTTTATAAGCCCGGGCGGGGGGGCCCAAAACCGGACTCCCGGGATCTGTGGCTTTGGGACCCTCCAGACGGGCCTCGAAGCGGCCCCCGGGCCTCACATGGCGCTTTGCCAAGCCTTCCCAGAACACCTAGGGCGATCAGGGGGGACATCGGAGACGTCCCAGAGACCCCCAAGACAGCACAAGAGCGCTCCAAGAGTGACCGACGTGACCTCAAGATGGCCCAAGAGGCCTCCAGGACGGCCCCAAAGAGGCCTCCAAGAGCACTCCCAAGAAGGCCCCCCGAGGCAAAAATCATTGATCTTTTATTGGTTTTTGGTGAATTTTAGGGTGTTCCTCTTTTCGGCTTCCCGACGCTCCAAGACGGCGGTCTTCTGGGCGTCCGAAGCCGCCTGGGAGGCTCCACAATCGCCCCACAACCATCCGAAAGGGTTTCCAGGCAGTCCAAGAGAGCCCCAAAACGGCACAACACGGGTCCAAGATGGCCTTCAGAGCGCCCCATGGCGGCCCAAGATGGCCCAAAGACACCCTCCGAAGAATTCCAAATCGTGATTCGGTCGTTCAGGGAGACCGCGAGGCAGGGTGGCCCGAGGAAGCCCCCGGAGGCCCCCAGAATACGCCCAGGAGGTCTCCAGAAGGCCTTAAGAAAGCCTGAAACAACTTTTGTGAGGCCCCTAGAGGCTCTCCAAAGAGGAGCCTCCGCAAAAAAGAGCTGCGGAGGATGGGGAGAATGCGCAGGGCATGGCGAAAATAAGGAACAAGAAACATGGAGGAAGGATAACGAATAACATTATTATAGCGGCGATGCCAGAAAAGGCAACCAGGAGTTATCGCTAAATTGCCGGCTTGACCTTCCTGCTATTCCGCCTGCATACCAAACTTCAAGGACCAAGGTGCAGGGCGCGAAGCGCCACTGCAGTCTTGTATATATATATATATGTATATGTATACAAGTGGCACGTGTGTGCCCAGGCTCATAGAAGTGATGCAAGATGGGCTGGCGGAGTGAGCGAAGCGATTAACAAGAGAAGTGTAAGCACGATTTCCACCAGCCGATCTGTTTCACTAGACAACTTGTGGAGGGAAAAAGAAGGAGGAGAAGAGGAGGAGGATAGCTGCTGGGAGTGAAATGCAATAGCGAGGTCGCACTCGAGCGCAAGTGGGGTTGCCACACCTTGCGATGTGTGTACTAGGGCCCCCCAGGAAGCCTCAGGAGGCCCGACTTGGATACCGGAAGAGACTCCAGGAGGCCCCAGGATTGTGAGTGTTGTGTGGGTGTGTGTGTGTGTGATGTGTGCTCTGTGTTGAGCGTGTCTTCTGTGCGTTGTATGTGTGTGTGTGTTATGTGTTTCTAGCGTGTGATGTGTTGGGTGTGATTTGTGTAAGAGGCTCCAGGAGGCCCCAGGAGGCCCCAGGAGTTTCCAGGAGACCCCCAGGAGGCTCCAAGGCGGGGTCTGGGGCACCAGAAGGTACAGAAAGCCCCAGGAGGTTCGAGGAGGCCCCCAAGAGGTTCCGAGGCAGGGTCTTGGGTACCAGAAGGTACGTCGGGGCTCGATGTTGGGAGGATGTCTCAGGCGAAACCGCCATGTTTTGAGAATCGGGATAAAAATCATTGACATTGCCATGTGTTTGAAGGTTTTATGTTAACATGTTGAAATTCCTATGTGTGTTTGGACCCTGACGTCACGATCTCTGTGAGGGGTGCCACCGATTTTCCGAATTTCGAGGATGTCCCTAGCGAAACGGCTAGAAAAATCGCGAACGACGCGGCGCGTATGCATTAATCGCCTCTGAGCCCTTCTCCCTCGGAGAGGTGCGTATGAGAGCGTGTGTATATATATATATATATAGATATACATGTATATATAAATATATATAGAATCGATTCGCATATTATATAATAGAATCAAATGAGCTACAATACAGTACAATATATACATATGTATATAGATTCAACCATCCATAATTGCATGCATATCTGCATACATACATACATGCATGCATACATACATACATGCATACATACGTCTATATATACACAGATATAGCTATACATAGAAAGAGAAGGAGCTAATCCAACCCAGATCCACCAATCCCAAATGCACCCACACCTCACTACCCCTCATCACTCATCATTCTTCGCGGTCCACTGTAGCGGCCCAAGAGCGGCGGCATGCTAGCATAGAGGATGGCGGTCGGGCGTGTCCACCGCTAGCGTCAACGGCTATCCAGACCTGGGGGGGAGGAACGCGGGGAAGAGGGGGGAACAACGAGAGGGCGGAAGAAAGACGGGACACAGACCCAGAACCTCCAGAACGTTTCGACCTCGGACCTCCTACCTGCACGGGCGACCGGCGACGCGACACATCAACATGCACGGCACATGTTGCCTGAGATTGACGAAGCACACCTCAGGCATTGGAGGAGGGAGGCAGGTGGAAGGGAGGAAGGTGGAAGGGAGGGAGGCTCCTGGCGGACGGGTGGCTGCTGCCGCGGGTCCACCCCGCTGCCATGTGCATTTTCGATTGGATACACGTGGTCTTCGTCAACGGCATCTTCGGCACTGCCGTTGGCCAGCTCACGCAGTTTGCCCAGAAGAAGGTCGTTGGCTTCAAAGCGCGCGGCTTCAGCTACGCGGCCATCCACGCGGCCGTGGCGGGATTCCAGTGGCCAAAGCTCGTTGGCACAGGGCCCACTGATGTCTTCAGTCCCAAGAGAGCTGCCTCGCACTGGAATGACGCCAACTTCAAGGTGATCGCCAGCGAAGGCCTGAGCATTATGTCCTTCTTGCTCTGCTTCCTGCGGGCGGCCGTTGCCGCGATCGACGACGTGTTGCTGACTCGGCATGCGATGTGCTTCGCGATGCTGTGCGGCATCGCGCAGGCTCTGCACGGCGTCCCCCCCCCCCGGGACGGCGTGGACGCGGCGGCGCTGCAGCGCGACATCAATGTTTTGTGGGCGGGCTTCTGCTCTTGCACGGCCAAGAGCAGATGCAGCCGAACTTACATTATAGCTGTTGTGTCACAAGGACGCCTGCCATGCGAGCTCGCTGCAACGGGCGCGCGGGGTCGGAGGGGTGGGGGTGGGGAGGCGGGGGTGCGGTGGGGGGGAGGGCGAGGGAAGACCAGGATCGATGGAAATCTGGATGAGCAGCAGCATCAGCAGGTATTCAGTTGATGATGGTGAAGATGACGATGCTGACGGCGATGCTGATGACGATGGTCATTCCCCCCCCCTTGCGCGGACACGCGGGCCGATGAGGTAGCGGCTGCAGCCGCCCAGCTCAGCTACACATCGCCGCGGCTGCAGCCGCTCAGCTCTCCATGCGGGCGCTGGCAGACCTCCTGCACCTTCCAGGGCTCATCGACAGGTTCGGGCCATTGCCGACGTGTTGGCCGTTGGCCACTGGAGCGGAAGCACAAGCTGATCACGAAGTACGGCAACCACACGTTCAACACGGCCACTCCCAGCAAGACGCGCAGTTGGGAGAAGTCCGTCCCCAGGGACGTCACCTGCGAACGTCTGTTCGCGATACCCGACGACGAGCTTGGCATATAGATGTCGCTCATGGCGCCGACGAAGGCGCCCGGCAGGCAGCTGTTGGTGAGTTTGCGCGAGGGCTTCGGCGTAGCACACGCTCTTGGGGGGCAGCGTGGGCTTCAGCTGAGCAGGCACGCGCGCGTGAATGAGCACACTCGCGTCTCCGTTGGAGACGTGGTGATCTGTGCATGCGGCGCCTCGTGGTCCGTGGGTATGGTCCAGCAGGTTGTACAGGTGTCGACTTCGCCCTCTGAGGAGCCAGCCCTCCGGGCTTTAGTCCCCCCAAGTGGGTCCAGCGCAGTGCGGGGAAGGGCTCCAGCGTCTGGGAGACGCAGAGCCTGGGAACGCAGCACATGCGGCTGGAGGCAATCCTGCGGCCCGCCGCTTGCTGGTCGCATCGGTCTGCAGACCGATCTGTGGTAGTGTACCCGCCTGGGTTTGAGTAGCCTCAGACGCAAGTTACCCAGACAATAATTCGCAGCAGCTGCAGCAGCTGACAACGTGGAGCTGCCGCTCCAGCAACTGCTGCAGCCCACACATGGGCATGCAGCTCGCGCTTCGTGGGCGCAAATGGTTCAACATAGTTCAACCAGAGCTTGCCTAAACACGTGGAAGCTAAGTCCCGTCCGTCTGAACTGTTAGCAGCTAATTCATGTCAAGGCTGTGTAAAGTCAAATTAAAAGTTAGCATCTGCATGTTGAAACAGCTCGAGTGCTGCTAAGTTTGGCGAGTCGATCTTACTCTTCTGTGATTCGGAAATCTACCGAAGCAGGACCTAAAACATTCGAAATTGGTCCGAGACGAAAGCTGTCCCCCAAAAAGCGATCTGGAAGCTGCGGGGCCGCGGATTGAAAATGACACCTCTGCTACAACAGACCACGAACAGCTTCGCACGGTTCATGCTAAGGGGGCCGCGATGGGGGGGCCCACGATGTGCCACCCATGTCGGGGGCCCGGCATTACTCACCGGCCAGGCGTAGGACCCTTACAGGCAAGCGGACGTCGTTATTGTTCACGGCGTAGACCTACAGGACCGGCTTTTCATCCTGAGCAGTTCTGTTGACGGTCTTGGGGCACGCAGCGCTGGCGTCCAGAGGTTGACAGTTGTCCCAAACCCGCCGTCGTTCTTTCAGGGGCGATGCTCGCCAGAGCGATGCCCTGGGCGCCTCGAGAGGTCGATCGGTACGACGACAAGCGGTGAGCGGCTCGTGCGTGCATGGAGGACGGGGAGGCTGGAGGGGAGGGGGGAGGAGGAGGAGGAGGAGGAGGAGGAGGAGGAGGAGGAGGAGGAGGAGGAGGAGGAGGGGAAGGAGGGGAAGGAGGGGAAGGAGAAGGAGAAGGAGGAGGAGATCGAGGAGGAGGGCAGTAGGGGGAGGAGGAGGAGGCTGAGGAAGAGGAGGAGGAAGACGAGGAGGCTAGAGGGGGCATGACTTGGTGGCGGTGGTGGCGACGATTGTGACGATGAGGTGGCGGTGGTGGCGACGATGGTGACGATTACGACGATGTCCTTCCTGCTGTTGTTGCCGTGGTGGTTGTAGTGTTTCGCCCGCCCCAGCTGCTCGATGCCGCTCGATGCCAATCACATAGTTCGATGACAGGACGTGTGCGTGGGGGCAGATCTTTGCGCTCCTCCTCCTCCACCTTCCTGCTTCATGGGCGTCCTATTTCTTCCCCTGCCATTCCTCGCCCTCCTTCTCCTCGCCCACGTCCTCATCGTCATCGTCCTACTCTTCCTCTATCTCCCTCTCTTTCCTCCGCGTCCGCGTCATCCGTCTCCCATCTTCGTCGTCCTTGTCTTATTGATAGCCTTGTCATATTCCTCGTCTCCCCCCCTCCCCCTCGTCCTCCCCCCTACAGCCAAGACGTTGAAATAAGGGCCATTTTGAGTTTAGGAGGGGCTATGGCTTTCGGGCCAGTCCTTGGGTCCAGGTTTGCGAGCCGACTCGTGGCCGAGGGTCGCCGTGGCCAGCAAAACGCCCTCCGAGTTCCTTATCTGACGTTGCTTGTGGCAGCATGATGGCTGTGCTCCCTGGCACCTTTGCGCTTGGCCAATCAGTGAAGAGGAGGACGACTAGGAGGGGAAAGGCGCGGACCATCAGGAAGAGCGTTCTTCTGACCCTTGCCCTGGCTCTTCCTGATCGTCCGCGCCCTCCCCCTCTTCGTCGTCCTCCTCCTCCTCACTGATCGGCCACGCGCAGAGGGGGGTAGCGGAATGGGGAAGGTTTCTTGGAAGCACCCCTGCTTCTTAGGAGGCGCGGGCCTCGTCTATAGATGCACGTCTCCTTCTAAGAAGCCTCCCCCCCTCCCCCTTACCCACCAGTGTGCGCCGCCAAGATGAGTCCTCGTCCTCCGCGCCATCCTTCGCTTCCCCCCCGCCGCCCACCCCCCCAGCTGCTCGACGCCAACACGCACGTGAAGGCACCTCCTCTTCCTCGACGGGTGGGGGTGGGGGGGGGGGCAGACTCAGGGGCAACGTCAGAGTCGGATCCAGACCCTTTGAATGGGACTTTTCTCAATCGCTAGGTCCACTTTAAAAGCGTATCGTCCTTGGCAGGCCCAAGTTGAGCCCCCATAAAACAGGCTGCGGAGCGGGAGACAGAGACTCCGGCGAGAAAACTCCCCAAGCCTCCGCAACTGCATGGATGTTGGCATGTTTTGAACGGGGGCAGGACTCAGGGGCAACGCCAGGGTCGCATCCTATGGTTTTCGAGCTTTTTCGCAGGTGCCCCAAGGCTTTCCCGCCTCGGGGTGCTCTCCAGCAGCTGCGCCTCGCCAGAGCGTCCCCGACGGCCGCCAGAGGCCCGAAGTATGACCCGAAAGTGCGACGACGAGGATCATTGGCTCAGGTGGTGAGTGCATCGTCCCCGAATCGCCCATTCGTCGCCGATGGAGGCCCAGTAGGTTGCCCCGCCGAGACGCGTGTGGATTCGCTTTCAAGGGCAGATCGCTGGTCTATCGGCGATGCATCGCCGATTCCAGCGCGATGTTTCCCCCCTGAGCTGGTCCCCACACTATAGCGTTGCCCGTCGGGGGGTGGGGGGGCAGACCCGCGGGGGGCGCCGCGAAACAAAAGCACACAGACGACGTGCGTTTGAGGATTTCGGCCTCAATGCTGTTGTATTGCTCAAGGTGACAATTTTTTTGTATGGCTGATTGCTGGTGTGTACGTGTGTGTGTGTCGTTTTGTAGGCATGCCCCCAAAACAACGACCCGCGACGACAAGCCTGCCCCACGGATGGATGGGGCCGAGAGCTCTGGCCACGCCGTCAGAGTTCTCTGGGAAGGCGAGTGGAATACGAGGCGACGGAGGAGGAGGAGGAGGAGGAGCACATCCTGCCCCCCCTCGTCCACCCCTGCCCCCCTCCTCATCCCAGCTCATCCTCCATCTTCCTCATGCCTGCTCCTACGCGCCCCTTTCATCGCCGATCGCTGCCATCTCTCGACGGAAGCCGTTCTCTGCGGCTAGTTCGTTGTGATTTATGTTGCCCGCCTCGGCGCCGCCGCCGCCGCCGCCGCCGCAATACGTATGCTTTCGTGCTTGCGCGATTCGATTCTCTACAAAAGCCGGATCCTGCGTCCCGGCCGTGGCCGTTATTTTGCCTGGAGCTGGCTCGAGCCGCGGCGCCACTACGACGACAGCGAAGAGAGCGCTTCCGCGAGGCCCACCGGTGGCGCAGCGGAGAGCCCGCCGGGCACCGGACGCGGCGGTCGGCGGGTGATGGCTACAGGCGGGGGATCTCATGGCCGGGGCCATGGGATCTCCCCGGATCCCATGGCGCCCTCTCCCTCTTACAAGACGTGCCTTGGCCACCCCCCCCTGGGGCCGCGCACGTGCCTCGGGCGATAATGTGCTCAGGAGCGAAAGGAGGACGGACACGTACATGAATCCACGGTGGTTTTGAGAGTGCGCATTGCGCGAACGCTCGTATTTTGCGGCTGCTCTCGCGGATTGGGGGGCCGTGTTCGTGTACGTGGCTGGGCTCGCACGTCCTTGGTGGGCTCCCTGGATGCGACCCCCCCCCGTGCTGGACGTCCACCCCTGGAGGCCCCGAGGGATCTCCGAGAGGGCTCGGCAGGCCTCCGGTGGTCGGGGGAGCTGCCCGCTGGGGCCCGGAGAGCCAAAGGCCGCCGCGAGGCTGCGCGGGCTGGTCTTCGGCGCAGCCTCGCGGACCGCCCCGGGGGGGCGTCGCAGCGGCTGCAGGCGCTGCCCCCTGGAGGAGGAGGGGGAGGAGGAGGGGGAGGATGTAACAGCAGCGTCAGGAGACACAGATGCCATCTGGTGCCATCAGGTGCCAGGAGGAGGGGTAGGGGGAGGAGGAGGAGGAGGAGGCGGAGGAGGAGGAGGAGGAGGAACAAAAAGGGATGATCTGGATGGGATCCCGAGAGATACAGCCTCCGTCACAGCAGGTCGTGGAGCCTTCGGCCACACGCCTGCACTGCCTGCGGGGTTCGGGGGGGTGGACGCCCCGCCTTCTGCCACGCGTGCCGGCCACCATTCGCTGGAGGGGCAGCCTGCGGTGCAGCTCCATTGGGGGCTCCCAATAGCTGAGTGCGAGACGGCAGCAGCAGCTGGCGCCCTTGGGCTTGACACCCCCGCGTACCCCCCCCCCAAAAGCCGCGCACCAAATGTCACTCTTGCTTGGGGTCACTCTTGCGTGTAGCCGACTCCTGGACCGAGATGCCTCCTCGCAGAGCGACCGGGCAACGGGGCGCTCAGGGCATCCGAGGGAGGTTGCAGCTGAGAGTGACCTTGCGGCCAACCTTCGCCAGGTTACAATCTCGCGTGCTCCTGGCTCTGACCCACTCCCTACACGAGCCAGTGCGGCTGCTCTGTGTCAATACACGGCCTCGGCGGCACCCCAGCAGCAAGGGAGAAGCGGGGGAGCTGCCGCCAGCTTCGCCGACGAAGTCCTTGCCGCTTCCTTTGTTGCCCAAGGCGGGGTGCAGCCGTTTATGTCATGAGACGTTGTCTCGCATGTCGCCTGGACGAGTACCCATCGGTCCCTGAAATCTGGAATTTTTCGACGCCCAAATACCATCTACTCTAGGCGTCTTCCTACTTCAAGAGTGGAGTGGCCTTCCCTCTTCCCTCCTTTTCAGGGGGCGGGCGGAAGCCAACTCTACTTCCAACGCCTTCCTACTTCATGTTTCTGCCCACTTCGTCCGACCGACGTGTATTGACCCCCGTTCCGTGCTGGTTTTCGCCCTCGCGGTCGAGCGCGGCGCAGAGGGTGGGGGTCATCCAGCGACATGCGGGCTCGGCTCGCCGCCGTTCGCTGCCACAGCAGGGGTGCGCAAGCCACGCTGCTGTAAGGGCCTAGAGGCGTCTCAAGGCAGCTGGTCGCGGTGCGCTCGCGTCTTGCAGGCCAGGGGTGGGCCACGCTGGGCCTAGCAGGCCTGGCGCCGGACCGCACTGCATGGCAAGCGGGCCGCCCACTGGCTGGCCTGGCGGTCCCACTGGTTGTTCAGCGGTGTGCCGCGTCCCTACTGAGCACCAGAAGCTGCCTAAGCCGACGACCGCGAGCAGGCAGATGCAGCTACAGCCCACAATCGTTCCCCCCTCCTCGGCGGAGAGCGTGCAGCACGGCAGGTGCAACCCGAGCCAGTCTTGCAATGGCCGTCTTCGAGCACATAACGGCATGCCGTCTGACGTGAAGACGGTCGTGTGTAAATCACGCGGAGCGGATTCCTCAGCTGCAATCCGGTGATGGTCGTGATGGCGGTGATGTTGTTGATAATGGTGATAGTGATGATGGTGATGGCGGTGCAAGTGAGGATGCGGTTGGTGGTGATGATGATGACGATTACGATTGCGATGATGGTGGCTGATGTTGATGGTGATGGTGATGAGGAGGAGCAAAAGGAGGAGGAGGAGGAGGAGGAGGAGGAGGAGGAACGAGAAAGGAGGATGAGGAGGAAGAGGACCCGAGTAAACTAAAGATGCATGAGCGATGCTGCAAAACACCCTCCCGTCCCAATTCCTCGACCCCAATACGCCCCTACAAGTGCCCCTCTTTACTACAAGAGGCGCCTCCCTGAAATACCAGCACAGTTGGGCCTGCAAGTTGAAGGAGAGCCGCGCTTGCTTGAACAGGAGTTGTCTTGCATCCTTCTGACTTGGAACCAGGAGCGCGAGCACTGATGCTAGCCAGTGTGGACCCCAAACATTGTGTTTCTAACAATCTATGTTGTGCGTGCGATGTCTGTGGTGAAGGTGCAATCTACGTTGTGCAAGATCTGTCGCTGCGCCGTTTGTTCCAACGCGCAGCCTTGCGTCTGGGGGAGGGCGCCGCGGCAACCAGGGCAAACACCGCCTCGGGCGCGGTGGGTCCGTCGTGGGTTTTGCGCGTGGCGACCACGTCTACTTGGGCTGCGAGCCGCAGGGCTTCGTCCACTTCTCGGGCGCATCACAAACAAACGGCGCGGCGAAAGATGTGGTGCAATCTGTGTGGGGCAACCTTTGTGGTGCAATGTATGTGACGCAGCCCGTGTGACGCAACGTATGGTGCGCAATCTACGTTGAGCAATTTCCAGGCTTAAAGCAGAGCCCAGCAGCGCCCAGACGACGGGCGGCGACGGGGCGGCGACGGAGCGGCGACGGCAACATCCAGGCGGCGGACCTGACACCAAACGACAGGCGGCGACGGGGCGGCGACGGGGCGGCGATGGCGACAACGAGGCGGCGGAGCTGACACAGGGGCCCAGACGACGGGCGGCGACGAGGTGCCGACGGGGCGGCGACGGCGGCAAGAGAACGGCGGACCCGACACCAGGAAGACCCCCTTTCCAAAGAAGGATTGTCCCCCTACCGTGAAAGTGTTGCATGTTCTTTCACTTGCACTTGGAGTCATGGACTCCGAGGAAGTTCTAGGCGACAGCTCCATTTTGAAAGAGCCACCAAGGATCCGTGCAGCCGCACGTGCGCTGAAGTTCGGGGTCTTTCAATCGAACAAAGCCTCAGGCGATACTCCATGTTGAAAAAGGGCAGTCTTCCATCCTGCTAAGCCTTCTTTAACACATGAATGCACGCGGTGTTGAGGCGAGTGCCCTACAAAAGAACTACCAATACTCATTCTTTCCTCTTGATGCAAGATTTTGAACCGAATGCATGCGGCGCTACAGCGAGAGCTCAACTTTGAAAAGGAACCGCCTTCCATCCGTGAAGCTAGCGCGCCCTGCGCGGCGCACTAACTTCAGGAATGTGCGCGACGCTCGGGCGAGAGCACCGTTTTGAAAGCGGCCCCTCCCCCCTTCATCTTTATAGGTGTTTATGACGAGCACGCGCGGCGCTAAGGCGAGAGCCTCATGTTGAACAGGAGTTGCCTTCCATCCGCGAAGCTGTTGCACATGTTATACATGAATGCGCGCGGCGTTCAAGCGAGAGCCACATCTTGAAAGTTGCCCCACTGACCCGTGAAGCTGTTGCAAATGTTGAAGACAATTGTGCGCGGCACCAATGCGAGAGCAGCATTTTGAAAACCACCCGCCTTCCATTCGTGAAGTTGTTGCGAACAATTAGAATATATGGAGCGTTCCAAACATGGGCTTGCCTTCGAGGATCGAAGGAGTTGTCATCTCTTCCGCTGCAGAAGGCGGCGGAAGGACGGCGGAAGGTCGGCGGAAGTAAAACGAGGCCGCCCCCGCCAGCGTAAGGCGGCGGAAGTAAAAGATGCGCCCCCAAGAGATGAAAACGTTTTCGGGTTAAGGGTTTCCGAAATCGCCCATATGCACGCGGCAATTTAGCGAGAGGTTCATTTTGAGCGTGACCTGTCCTCCATCAGTGACACTGCTGCGAATTTCAAGCTTCAGGTTCATCAGTGGTGTGGAAATGTCCGATGAAACGCCTGGCCCGCCCTACCAACACATCTGGGGGTGCCACAGGGAGGAGTTGGCCAAAAGGAAGTGGTGGAGGAGCATTCGGAGGAGGAGGAGGAGGAGGAGGAGAGAGAACGGGGAGGAGGAGGAGGGGAAAGGGGAGAAAGAGGATGAGGAGGAGGAGAAAGAGGATGAGGAGGACGCGGACGAGGAGGTCGCAATCGCCGTAGTCGCCATTCGTCGCAGCCTCCCCCACCTCGCCGCCCGGCACGCGAGGCCCCGGCGCCCGCCGAGGAGACCGAGGCGCTGGCCGCCCGGGAGGCGCCCGTGGCCCCGGCCAAGGCGCCGCTGCCCCTTCCCAGCAGGAGGAGGCGGAGGAGGCGGAGGCTGCTCCCAGGAGCCGGCCAGAGAGGACAGGCAAGCTCGTCGCTTGAGGCCTGGAGGAGACGGCCAGGAGGGGATGGAGGAGGAGGAGGAGGAGGAGGACGACGAGGAGGGAGGAGGGAGGAGGGATCCGCCGCGAAGGCCTTCATGGGCGAGCTTTTGAGGGCGCCGCTGTTGGGGTGGCGGGCGGCGGGCCGTTTTTTGTACAGGCACGGCATGCCGCCCCCTCCCAGAGGAGCAACAAGTCCTGATAGCAAATCCCTGGCGATATGATGTTTGGAACTCCGGAGCTATTCATCGATTTGGGCTATATATTGGGGCCCCAGTTGTCGGCCTGGGCCCCCTGGTCATCAGAATTGGTTCTGGGACGAGAAATCAGTCCCGGGAAGGGGGGCGGGACCTCTGAGGTCGGGCATTGAAAAATCAGAGTATCGGATGTCTTGGTTCCAGGGTTTCGAAGATTTCTTGCTGCTCCGCGCGAGCTTCAGAAAAACGAGGGCCGCCAGATGCGACGGAGCTTCTGGAACGCATTCTTAGCCAATCGCATCATGACATCATTCTTGTCTGACCCCTCCGCGTCGGCGGCGGCACGGCGGCGACGACGACGGCGTCGGAACTATCATCATCGGCGGCGCGCTCTCAAGGATCGCAGTTTTTTGTCGGCTTGGGCGCCTAGGGGCCGTTCGGGTTGAGATTTTTCCCCACGACAGGTTGGGGCGTGAGGGGCAGAGCCCCCGACGCCCACCCTGCATACCGCGGCCGCCAGATGCCCAGGTGCACTCACTGTTCCGAGTGTCCCGCACCTCCTCCTCGCCCTTTACTACCACCGCCCACCGTACGTACCGCAGACACCAGATCGCCATGTCCACCCAGGATCTCGAGCATTCCGCCCCCAGCCTCGCCTTGTACTACCACCGCCCACCCTGCAGACCGCGGTCGCCAGATCCCTGACCACCCAGTGTCCCGAGTGTCCCGCCCCCCGCCTCGCCCGACATGATGACGATTACCCTTACATATAGTGAATAGTCTTCGTCCCTTTTTTCTACCACTACTGCAACAACGACTACTACAACTACGGGTACAACTGCAACATAACATAAGATGATACAACATCACATGAAATATTACAACGGGGAGTAACACAACTGAACATAACCTAAGAGTGTTTATTCCGATCGAACCAAATTGTATGCACTAGTGTGCAACGTAACAGATGACCGCACCATAGTGTACCATACTTGTAGGTTCGCCTGTTTACTTATAACAAGCGGAGCCAGATCAGATCTGGTATAACAGGCCAAGTCACGGAATACAAAGGTAAACATCAGAACAGCATTGAATGTAATAGGATGATGGGCGTAGAGAAAACCATATTCAATAAACAACGTACAGCGTGGTAGACGATAGCATACCATCGCAGAACACATACCGCAACATAACGCAACATACTGACATAGCGTACGAGCAACATACATAGTGAATCAACCAGAACACCTTTGACAGTGATTATACACAGCCGCGGCCGTAGGAACTGATCTCCGACCCGCACCACCCGCCCCGTATGATTACTGCGGTCGCCAGATCCCAAGGGCCATTGGTGGTCCCAGAGCGTCTCGCTTCGCGTCTTCGGCGAAATTCACAGCGTTACGCTGTGCAGGCGTCGCGACGCCACGCCACTACCATTACAAAACAGGCTGACCTTTGAAGAGCCTAGCATGTTTCGGTGGAGCCGAAAAGAAACGAGCACACGAGAGATGAGACAACAGCATGACTTGCTGATACCAGATGAAATAGAAACACAGCTATCATAACATATTATAGCTCAACATATAAGAAGGGGCTTGAACATGGCATGGCGCAGTCTAGCATGAGTGACTCGACGATATTCAAGGAATCAGCATCAGGAATGCACATAATCATATGCCACAGTGCAAAAGAGAACAGCAGGGAACAACACAAATCATAGTTTAGTAACATAGACTAGGAGAGGCTACGCGACAAAACAGCATGATACACCCGGTAAACACACGGCACCATAACACAATAGTGTGGCGTGTTCAGCAATAACGAAAATGCCAGAATTCAGCAAAGCGCTGCATATGTATAGATAGTAGACAAGCGACTCAAACCATAGCATACTATAGTGCACATGAACAGAAAAGGTCGCTCCATGAAAACAAGCAAGATTGATCAGCACATGCATGGTACAGCATCATGGGCGAGTTCTGCGTACACGGTATCACCGAGTAGCGCATATGATGGGTCGCGCCATGACACAAGTGAGTTTGATGCCCTGCACCCGAAGGGAAAAGCACGGACACGGAACATAGTAGAGCGCGCGAACATAGAATAGAGCACCCAGCCGCGCATTTGCACGGAGCAGGGCGAGGCAGCATGAGGTTGGTTGCGTTGGCAGCCTCGGTGTGGCTTCGATTGCCATGCCGACAGGCCGAGCCGCCCCTTTTGGGCGCAGAGGCAGTTCTCCTCGGCGGTGCGCGGCACGCGTGCCGTGCCCGCTGCCGCCGTTCCCTCGCCTCTCGGGCGACGACACGGGCTGCCCGGCCACCCGTGGAGGCCACAGCCCCCATCTCCTAGCTGATAACTCTCATCGTCAATGCCCTCCTGCCTCCTCCTCCTCCTCCTCCTCCTCCTCCTCCTGCGGCGGCGGCGGCGGCGATCCGCGGCGGCGCCAGGACGAAAGGGAGTGGGGTGTGTAATTACCATGTCTGCTGCATGCAACTGGTTTCGGCCGCGCCACTGGTCGCCTTCCTCGGTGCACTGGCGCCAGAGGCGCCAGGACGGCGCCGGGAGAGTCAGCCATAAATAAGTTGATCCGCTACCCCCTTCCTGTTACTACCCCCATGGACTCCTCCGTCGGTCCGACACGATCCTCGTCCTGCTGCTTGTCCTTGTCGTTGTCCCCCTCCTCCCACAGGTCCCGACCCCTTCCCCGAGGCTGGGTTCTCATCCCGAGGGCTCAGGGGTCGAAAATTGCGAAAAACCGCCGCCCCGATAGTTTTCAATACGTTGGAGGTCCCGGCGTCCTTGCCGTCGTCGCCCTTGCTTGCCTGCCTGCCTGCCTCCTCGTCGCGGCGGCCGCGCCGTCCACGGTCGCGCGAAGGAGCCCGCCGCCGCCAAGGGCGTTCGTCGTCGTCGTCGTCGCCGCCGCCGCCGCCGCTTCCGCCGCCGCGGCCGCGGCGGCACTTGGCGCTCCGCGGCGGCGGCGAAGGAGGAGCTCGCCTTCGCCGAGGGCGGCGCCGCGCCCGAGCCTGGGCCAGAGCCCGAGGTGCCCGAGGCTCGGGCGTTGCGTCCCGGGGGGGGGGGGGGGCGGGGGACCCGTGGCAGTAGTTCTGCCACGCCCACGCTCTCGCACGCACTCATTGCAGGCGACCGCCAGGCGTGGGAGACGCTGCAGAGTGGGGCACGGGGGGGCGGGAAGGGAAGGGGGGGGGAAGGTGCACCTCTTGTGCCCGAAAGGGGCCCCCAAAGCGGGCCCCCTGGGGCCCAAAAAGTTGTCATCGAGGCTAGTAACCCGTGGTCGTTCCGACGAAGACTTCCCAGGAGTTGCATCCTGAGGTACCGCTACAGCTACCGCCTCCCTCGTTTTCGGCTGTTGGGGCCTTCTGGCAGGCTCTCGTCGCCACTGCTAGATCCGCCTCGAAATCCCAGCCGAAGCGCGCCCAGTCGCAGCCCCCTTGCGCGTCGAGAGTTAGAACCACGACAGAAGGTCCCTCGCCAGGTTCGACCTCCGGGGGCCCCTGCTTGGGCCTTGGGGCCGTCAAGGAACGACTCGTCGGGGGCGGCCATAAGAGGGGGGGGGGGGATAGCTCGGTAGGATTAAGTCGGGCGTGTCCCGGGTGCCCGGTGGCGGGGTGCCCGGGTGCACGTTAGCCCTATAGAGCCTTATAGCCTTATAGGTCTATAGCCCTGTAGCCCTACAGCACTATAGCCCTATAGCCCGAATAGATCTATAGCCCTATAGCCTTAAAGCCCTATGCCCTAAAGTTCTATAGCCCCATAGCCTTATAGCCCTATAGCCATATAGCCCCATGGCCGAATAGCCAGGAAAAAAATTTGATTGGGTTTTCTGGGATTGTTCAAAAATAGTCAAAATATTGCCTGGGGGCGATGTTTGAACCATTTTTTATTCTCTTGCACATGGTGTCTAGAGCTCCGACCACTTGGTTTCGGCACGGCCCCCCCCCTCCATCACCCACACATTCCACCAGCCAGCGCGCCCTTCCGCCCCGACCCCTTTATTTCGGCACGGCACACCCCTCCGCCCCGACCCATGTATTTCGGCACGGCACACATCCTCCGCATCCCCCCGCCCACCAGCCAGCGCGCCCCTCCGCCCCGACCCCCTTCATTCCGGCACGGCACACCCCTCCGCCCCGACCCCCTGATGTCGGCACGGCACACCGCCTCCGCATCCCCCCACCCACCAGCCAGCGCGCCCTTCCGCCCCGACCCCTTTATTTCGGCACGGCACACCCCTCCGCCCCGACCCTTTATTTCGGCACAGCGCCCCTCCGCCCCGACCCCTTGTATTTCGGCACAGCACACCCTCCGCCCCTGACCCCTTTATTTCGGCACGGCACACCGCCTCCGCATCCCCCCACCCACCAGCCAGCGCGCCCTTCCGCCCCGACCCCTTTATTCCGGCACAACACACCCCTCCGCCCCGACCCCTTTACTTCGGCACGGCACACCCCCTCCCCCCCCCCACCCCCACCCCGCCCCGACCCATTTTATTCAGCACGGCACACCCTCTGCCATTGACCCTTGATGTCGGCACGGCACCCCCTCCGCATCCCCCACCCACCAGCCAGCGCGCACCCTCCGCCCCGACCCGTGTATTTCGGCACGCCCCCCCCCGCGCGCCCCTCCGCGCCGGCCCTTTCATTTCGGCACGGCGCACCTCCGCCCCGACGCCTTTATTTCGGCACGGCACACCCCCTCCGCATCCCCCCCGCCCACCACCAGCGCGCCTCGCCCCGACCCTTTTTATTTCGGCACGGCACCCCCTCCGCCCCGACCCCTTTATTTCGGCACGGCACCCCCCCTCCACATTCCGCCCCCCCCCCACCAGCCAGCGCGCCCCTCCGCCCGACCCCTTTATTCCGGCACGGCACACCCCTCCGCCCCGACCCTTTATTTCGGCACGGCACACACCCTCCGCATCCCCCCGCCCACCAGCCAGCGCGCCCCTCCTCCCCGACCCATTTATTTTGGCACGGCACACCCCTCCGCCCCGACCACTTCATGTCGGCACGGCACCCCCTTTCCGCATCCCCCCACCCACCAGCCAGCGCACCCCTCCGCCCCGACCCTTCATTTCGGCACGGCGCCCCCCCGCATCCCCCACTTACCAGCCAGGGCGCCCCCTCCGCCCCGCTACCTCTTTATTTCGGCACGGCCCCCACTCCCTCCCCGCGCGCCCTGCGCGCCCCCTCCGCAGCCCCCCACCCGCCAGCCATCGCGCCCCTCCGCCCCGACCCCTGCATTGCGCCCCCCCCCACCCACCCACCCACTCACAAGCCAGCGCGCCCCTCCGCCCCGACCCGTCGATTTCGGCACAACACACCTATCCGACCCTCCCCCTTTTTTTGGTGTAAGAGTCATGGCACACGTGCCATTTGTTTTCGAATATGTTTTGGCTACTTTCGCTCTTCTCCCCAAAATCCCCTTGTAGGAGAACACGCACGACCTAAGGATAGGACCTGGTGGATTTCATAGCGGGAGCCATGACATCTCCCCGGATCAGATGGCTCCCTCTTCTTAGAATGCAATGTTTTCCCGGCCCTCCTGCCGTCCGTGCACATGCCTCGGGCCTCGGGCCACGACACCACACGTGCCTCTTGGACGCCCCCGTTCTTCTTGGACGCCCCCGAACTCGGGATGAATAGCCGGCCGAAGGGAACAGTCCAGACCTTTGGGGCGGGTCGGGGCGGGTGGCCGCGGCCGGCGCCCCAGATCTCCGACGATCTGGCTCTGCTCAATCCGGGCGTTGTTCCTCGACTTCGGCTGCCGGCACCCCGTCTTCGGGCCTCGGGGCCATCAAGGATGCACTAGGGGTGCAGGAGTCCCAGGCAGGCCTCGCGTCGTGAAGGAATCAGGACGGGAGGTTGTTCGTCTTTTGCGGCCTCTGGGAGCCCTTACCGGGGCCCCGAGGCCGTCAAAAAACATCGACATGAACGAAAAAGTGGTCCCAGGGAAAGCGTCGGGACTTCCAGGGACCGCGTGTTGAATCCTCGTTTCACGCTCCGCTCCTTCAAGGACTTCCACTTCCGCGCTGTGCTCGCGCTCCGGCACACACGTGCAGGGACTTCACGTTCTGAGCTTGCTCCCCTCCCGTTCCGCGCGCTCCTCCTCTTCCCGCTGCCTGCTGTGCCCAGTTCGGCCACGTGCGTCCCACGCCTGCTTCCAAACGCGGTGGGATCTCGCTGCTGCGGCCAAAGAGCCGGAACAAAAACAGGACATCGCATGTCTGGGGTGGCCCTGGAGAATCGAAGACAAAAAAGCTACAAAAACATAAACTTTTGGCGCTCCGCGCGGATTTCTTGGATCCGCGCCTGGGCCCCCTTGCGGCGCTTCCGGCGCCGCCCTGGCGCGTTCTGGCGCCGCCCCAGGCGCGCTCCGCGCGCCAGGGAGAGGGGTCCAGCGAGAATCCAAGAAATCCGCGCGGAGCGCCAAGAGTTTATGTTCATGTGTTTTTTTCTTCCCCGGAGATCCGAGGCCGCACATCGACAAGCAGATCTTCGGACGACCGGCGTCGCGGGGCGGAGCGGTCGCTCGCTCTCGCGAGGGCTGGGAGGAGCGACCAGGCCCCGGCTCAGAGAGACCACGGTCGAGCAACTGTGCTCAGCGTGACTCGCCCCCTGGCCGCCCTCGTGGTGTGCACTCTCTACGCTTAAGTCGGGCGCGTCCCTCTACAGGAGGAATATTCAAAAATAGTTTACAATGTAATCTGGGGGCGGTTTTTGGATTATGTTTGATTTGGAGTATGTTTAACCTATTTTTGATTTTTCGTCCAAGATCCGCCGGTGGGGGGACATGCCCGACCTGACTCTACGCCTGGGGCCCTCCCGCGTTCCCCCTCCGCGGCCGCCCTCCTCTTTTCCTCTCGTCTCGTGTACCCCAGCCGCGCGCGGCCCGCCGGCTTTCCACCGCGCCGGCGCTCGCCATCGCTGACGACCATGAAATCGCGCTGCCTGTTCTGGTCCACCGCGCCCTCGACGCGACACGCGAACCACGTCCCCGTCCTGGAGCGTCAACGTCAACGCCCCGAGCGTTGCGAAGCCTCCCGTCCTGCGAGGCGGGCCAGCACGGTTTCCGACTGCACGGCGCAGTGCGTCCCCGGGGCCACCGCCGCGACACGCGAAACACAAATCCCTGACCGTAGCTTACACAGTGGGCATCTCGAACAAGAAACCAGCCAGCCAGCAGGTGCCCCACGGAATGTCATTGTCGCCCGATGGCTTTGATATGCCCGCACGAACCTCCCGCCTTCTGCGGAGCGGTGCGACACGCCGATATCCGCGCGCAGGGTATGCAGTCAAGACGCTGAAAGAAGGGCCACTTGGGGGTTCAGGGGGCGGGCTCTGGTTTTCGGGCCGTTCCCCAGATCTGAGCCGTGGGAGACATTTCGTGGCCGAGGCTCGCCGTGTCCGCCCCAGGGAGCTCCCAACTCGACGACAAACGTGCCCCAAGATTTCTTACGGCGGGATGCCTGACCGCAGCTACACGCTGTGCATCTCCCCCCCCACCCTCTGGCGCCTGGCCGTCGCCTCGCCTGCCCCTTGTGGTAGCAAAGAGGTGGGCCGACGGCTTCGCTGCCGTAGGCGGGCCCGCCTGCCTGCGCGCAGTACGCCGCCTCCCCATCACTGGGGCCAGTCTGGCTGTGCAGGGCGCGAGTCGAGCGGAGGTATGGTAGCACGCTGGCCGCAGCGTGTCGCCAGGGCCGCCGCCGCGACGCGCCGAGCAAAAGCATAGGATGCACGTACCGGGAGGCTAGGCTCCGAGTCGGCGCTGGCATACGTATTCCTGATCGAAGGTTGGGCAAATTTGGCTGCATCCGCCGATCCAGGCCTGATGTGGCGCAACCCCGCTCGATCCAACCTAGTCCTGGGCTTCCTCCCGGCCTGCTCTGGCTCGATGGCCCCTCAATCGGGCTTCGTAGCCCTTACTCGTTCTGACGAAGACCTCCCAGGACCTGCCCCCCAAAAGAGTTCCTGGCCGTGGCTCGGAACGGGCAAGGACGAGGATAAATCCGTTCCAGAGCGTCCCGGAACGCTTTCAAAACGTTCTGGAACGTTCTGAGGTGGCCGCGGCGCCCGAGAAATCCTCCGGAGCCGCGTGATCTCAGAGATTCTCGATTTGTCCTCACCCGATATTGTCTTCGACCTGGCTTCGTCTTATCCTGCCTCCTCAAAGAACTTCCGGCCATGGCCTCGCTCCTGCCCAAGTGTCGGGGGCGGCAAGAAGGGGGGTGGTGATCCGGGGAGGATATCATAGCCTTGGCCATGAGATCTCCCCTGATGTCATGGCGCTTCTGCCTATTTCAATTCGTCCCCCCCCCCCCCCTGGGCCGCGCACATGTCGGCGGCTATGGTTTGCGCGCGCGCCCTCCCCCCTCTTGGACGCCCCCCCTCTTGGCCGCCCCCGACCGCATGCCGTGGAGCGGCGGCGGGCAGGAGAGCGGTTTGGGGGGCCGTGGGGCCCGCGGCAGGCCGCAGCCGCGCCCCCGCGGCAGCCCGCGGCCGGCGTGCCGCGCTCGCCCTGCAGGGGAGGCGCGGTGGGTGCCAGCTCCCGCCTCCTCTCCCGTGTCCTGCCTCCTCTCCCGCATCCCGCATCCTCCCCCGTCCTGCCTCCTACCTCCTGCCTCTTCCTCCTCCTGCTCCTCCCTCTCCTCCTCCTCCTCCCTCTCCTCCTCCTCCTCCTCCTCCTCCTCCTCCTCCTCCTCCTCCTCCTCCTCCTCCTCCTCCTCCTCCTCCTCCTCCTCCTCCTACTCCTCTTCCTCCTCCTCCTCCTCCTCCTCCTCCTCCTCCTTCCGTAGCCATTTTGGCTCAAGATGATGGTGCCTGCGGCGTCCTTCATGGATACCGCTAGTCCGCGGCTAGTCCCCAAGCTTTTGCCGCCACAACCACGGGCGTGCGGCAGCCCACAGCTCATCCTGCTTCTCACCTTGGCATTGCAGGCTGCCATACATATCGGCTCGACCGAGCCCTTCATATCGCTCGTCGAGCCCAGCTCCGAGCACTTCATATCGCCCGTCGAGCCCTGCTCCGAGCACTTCATATCGCCCGTCGAGCCCAGCTCCGAGCACCTCATATCCGACGCCGAGCTGCGCTCCGCGTCCCAGGCCTCCGCCGTCGAGCCCAACTCCGAGCACGCCATCCTCGCCGTGAACGTTGCCCGCCCCGAGTTCTGCCGCCAGCATCTCCGCCAACCACGTATTGGCACCGCAGCCGCCCTGGACATTGGACAACTGTACAACAGCCGCTCATTGGACCTGCCCTACCATCCGCTACAATGTCGTCAAGCAGTGATGAGAGATCGACGTCCCGCAGCGCTCCGACACGCAGAAGGAAAGAACGTCGCCGTGGACGCCAAGACAAAGATCGAGATGACAAATGTTCCCGTGCCTCAGCTGCCAAGGCTACACTCGACGTCATGGGAGAAGCTGGCGTCGCATCGCAACTCGTGCGTGCGTCAGGGAGAGCCTCGGCGCCACCTTCACGTCCTGGTCGCTCGTCTGCGCGCCCGTCTACTCCGCCAACGTTTGCGATGGATGCCGACGACCTTCTACACCACGGTGATGTCGCTTGCCACGCAGCGGCTGCCCCCGTTCAAGCTCGCGATGGACAAGGGAATGCTCCGCCCTCCCAACCTCTTGCAGTCGAGGCTGCTCCAGCCGCTGGAGGACACCTACATGCAGACCCACTGGCAGGAGATCGCGACCCTTGGCGTGGCCAACACACCGCTGGACACTCGTCCGCCGTCGGAACCGCCGCCGCCCCTCATGGTTGGGACATACCAGCCTCTGTCGAAGCTGCTGGAGGCACTGCCACGCCTGGATCGATCCCAAGCATCCCAGGCTTGCATCCTGACGTCGAAGCTGCTCTTCAACAAGTCATGCAGACTCAAGTCGAACACGCTGCCGCCACCTTCCAAGCCCAGGCCAACGCTCTTCTCAATGAATCACGTGAAAGCTTTCGCCAAATTCTCGCACAACAAGTCATTGCTACCGAACGCCGAGTGGATGTTCTACATGATGCCGTCGCACGCACCCGCCGTGAACAAGACCGTCAAGCCGACGAGCAGAAAAAGATGTGGCAGCAGATCGACCAGATGCGCGACACGCTCGCGCTCGCTGAAGCTCAGGCGCCCATCACGGACCTCACCAAGCTTGCGGACTGGGACCGCGCCCCCGACCCGACCATCTTCCCCATCGGCTGCCAGCGCCTCATCGCGCCCGACATTCTGCTCAACGACCTGCAGGAGTGGATCGCCTCCGCCAACGTTGACCGCAACGCCGTGGAGTTGCTGGGGGACGAGCCGTCCAGACGCTTCCTTCTTCAGGTCAAAGGAGATCGTGCAGCCGCAATCCCGCGAGCTCTCGCTCTTTCACGTGCCCTACGAGATCCCGCTGACAGGTGGAAGCGCTTTGTCTCCACCGACACGACAGGTGCCCGAGTGGACATCTACCTCAATCCCTCAGTCCCGACAAGTCTCCCAAGCAGATCCGCACCGAGATCCAGTGCAAGAAGCTCCTGCAACTGCCCCAGCATCGCTACCCCGACAAGCCATGGATAGCCATCCGCACCAAGGGCGAGATCCATTGCAACGCCATGCCTGCTGCGCGCCTCGACGTCAAGGGCCAGGCCGACCCCGCCATCCTCGAGTGGAACGAGCACGCGTTCGAAGGCCATCACTTCAACGAAGTGGATCGCGGCGGCGTCCTCACTGCGTCCCAGGCGCTCTCCGCGGACACTGCGTCAGCAGCGTGGCGGGTTTAACCATCCCTGGTCGCCTTGGCGACCGAACGAGGACCCCGTCCCCAGCACCCTCATTACTTGGAATGCCAGAGCCCTCATGCGTCACAAGCGCCAGCGCCGCCGACGCAAACAGGCCGCCCTGCTGAAGTTCATGCGCCGCCAATGCGTCATCCTCATCCAGGAGGTTCATGGCTCTGAGGCCCTGCTCCGCACGTGGGTGGACACGCAGCCGTACCCGTACAAGCTCTTCTTCTCCGAGTTCGTCGGCGACGATGACGCCGAGGCCCGCCCTGGCACTGGTGGCGTTGCTACGCTAGTGCCCTGGCTCACACCAATGCAGCTCGAGCAGCTTGCTCCGCACCAACTGCCTACCTTCGTCCACGAGGAGATCGTCAAGGGCCGCATCCAGACTGTCTCCATCCAATGCCGTCACGAACAACTCCATCGTCATCATGAATGTCCATAACCATGAGATCGACGCTCGCGGCCGCGCCCGAGTGCAACGCGCTTGGCATCAGCATCGCACCTGGGCCGAGATCGACTACCAGCACCGCACCTTCATCGCCATGGGTGACTTCAACACTGCCAGCCGCCCACCGAACAGCTTCCTGCAGCCCCAGCCTCAGCACGCGCGCCTTGCGCTGGACAACAGCGCCCGTCAGCAGCAGCCTTTCTGGAAAGCACAATTCGATTCCATGCTCGAAATTGAATCCGACTTACCGACCCGCTTCAACAAGTCCGACTTCTCCGCCTCAGCGATCGACCGCGTTTTCATCAGCTTGCCGCCCCATGCCATGCTCGAGCTCACATCGCAGATCAACATTGCACACAACCCTGCCATCCTGTCCGACTCCTTCCTCAGCGACCATGCGATCATCTCCTACACCATTGGCATCAAGCCGCGCACGCCGACGAACGATCATGCTATCCCCCCGCGATCTTCCGCGACCCGAGCTACGCCAAGTACCTGGACCAACTGATCACCCACACCAAGACCCAGCACGTTCCCATCCAGAACCGCTGGCGCACGCACAAGCGCCTCATGGTCGAAGCCGCGAGGCTCGTCCGCGACGAGTGGGTCAGCTCCATCGGGGACGGCAACAAATCCAACCATGCCGACGGACGGGCCCTCACGGCGCGCTCGATCTCGCGCTCGGTCTGGCGCCAGGATGTTGCTCTCGTTCGCCGCCTACAGTCCACCACCGACCTTGGCGCCAAGTACCTCTCGATCACCGACGGCCTCATCACGATCATCAACCAGCCCGAGTTCGCTGACATGTCAGCCTCGCTCCACCGCGACTTCGAGGCTCGGCAACGCTCTCTGGCGCAAAGAGCGGCCCAGCGCCCCCCTGGTGCGGCAGGGGCCCTCGAGCCCGAGAAACTCCGCCGAATCTTGCGCGCCTCGCAGAGGCGGGCTCTCCTGTGGGCCCCCTGGAAGCGTCGTCTGGTCCTCCAGGGCATCAAAATCTCGGGACCAGATGGCCCCCCTGGGGTCGCCAGAGAGAGCTGCGATATGGCTGACGCCCTTCGCACCTACTGGAAGCCCGTCTTCGCACACAAGCTCGTCGACTCCGTCAAGGTCAAGCAGTACATCGCCGAGCACATGCCGCTGGGGGCCACCATCGACGTGGGCGCGCCGACCAAGAAGCAGATCCGCGCCTTCCTGGCTCGCACCTCTCCGTCGGCCCCTGGTTCTGATTGCCTTCCTTATCGCGCCTGGCTCGCACGCGACTCGTCGCTGGACCTGCTCGAGGACCTCTCGTTCCACCTCTGCTCGAACGCCAATTTCATCCACGACCTGAGCGACTCTGACTTCGCCTTCTTGCCGAAAGGGGACAACCTCGTCGGCGAGTTGCAAACCGACAGGGCGCCCGAGGACACGCGCCCGCTCTCGCTCAAGAACACTGATATCAAGGCCATCGCTGGCGCCGCCAACTTCCTTCTCAAACCCGCTGTGGCAGAGCGGACTCACAAGGCACAACAGGGTTTCGTCGTCGGCCGCAACTTCACCAAGCACATTGTCATTCTTGACGCCAAGCACATTGATCACCATCCTGTCTTCACCAGCTTCGACTTCGCGGCGGCGTTCCCGTCTTTGGGTCGGGTCTGGCTCTTCGCGGCTCTCGAGCGCTTCGGGGTTCCCATCGGCCTCATGAGCCTCTTCCGCAACATGTACCACGCCCCGAACAGCTTCCTCAAGGTCGACGGCATCCGCCACTTCATGTTCGCCATCGAGTCGGGCGTCGCTCAGGGCTGTCCCGCCAGTGGCTCTGCTTGGGCCATCGCGATGGACCCGCTCGTCCGCCACCTCGCCTCCTTCATCGAGCACCCCGACGGCACGCCCGACTTCGACAAAGGCTACCTCGGGGTCTGTGCGGACGACACCGGCCTGCTCACATTCTCGTTCGACACGCTGCGCAAGGCATCTGAGCCTTTTTCTGCTGCCGAGGAGCTCGCCCTTCTCGCCCTCAAACCACGCAAGTGTGTAATAGTGCCCCTGTGGGCGCCCGTCTCTCCTGCCACCACAGCCCAAACGAAAGCGCCCCTGGCCGACCTTTGCCCTTCCTGGGGTGGCTTCACGATTTCGGGGCGAGCCAAGTACCTCGGGACCTTCCTTGGACCGTCCTCCCCCCTTGCCCTTCAATGGCTCGCCCCAGGGCAAAAGCGGTGGCAGCGCAGTAATTTGCTAAATCTTGTCCAGTCTGGCAGCGACGCCACTGTCCGCCTATATAACACTTCTGTCCTGTCCACGCTCAGCTACGTTGCTCAGTTCTTCCCGCTCGACTCCAAGATTGCTCGCCGTGAGCTGTATGTCTTCCACAAAATGCTCAGCATGCCGCCCAACTCTTTTCGCAAGGTAGATCTCATTTCGACGGCGGAATGGAGCCCGCCACCTGTCCTTCGTTCAGCCCAAGTCACATGTGCTGCGGCGGCCATTCGCACAGCCACTTTCACACTCAGTGGAGAATGGGAACCGTTCCTCCACCGCCTGCGAGACACCGCCTGGGAGGAGAGCACGATCCAATCCTTCCCTCGGTGGGAAGCTGGGCGCTGGTCCCCCCCCTTCTGGGAGGAGGCCTCGTCCATCGTGCAATTCTACCATGCCCTGTCTAGCGGGCAGCGTGTCTCGCCATTTTCCGCAGCAGCCGTGGCCCTGGCGTACCGCGCCGCACGAGCTGAAATCCGAGAAGCACCCGACGCCGACCCGCCGCGTCGCCCGAAGGTACAGAGAGCGGTCGCACTCGCGCTGCAGCGTGCCTTTTTCTCTTCGCCGTTCACAGTCACCCTCGCGAAGCGCCTTGCAGCGTGGGGCCTTCAGAATACGCCGCCGCCCCCTGAGCTCGCCACCCGCTGGACTACTCTCGCGAAAGCGCTTGGAGAGGTCCGTCCCAGCTGGCGCTGGGCGGTTTTCAAAACGCTCAGTGGCGGGTGGACGCATGCATGTACTACTAGCTCAGCGCTCGTGTGTATTCGGTTGCCCGAACGCCCATTCTTTTCCCCACTACCTCTCCTGCTCCGTCCTCCTGAGCCTCCTCTGGTCCCCCGACCCCGCTCCGCTCCTCAGCACATATACATCGTGGGGCTTAGGCCCTGCAGCAGCGTACCCTTCCGAACCTGCCAGCGACCTCTCGTTGCGGCAGACGATTCGCAGGGTTGCGCTCGCTTTCCACATGTACAACAAAATGAAGCAACACGCAGCGCCGTCGCCAGCAAATATTGCTGCAGCGATGGCCGCAGCGAAATCACTCCTGTGGCGTTGAGCCGCTGTCTGCCGTCTCACGCCTTGCCTCACTATCTAGGCAGGCTTGCGCGTGGGCTGGGCTGACAGACGTGGCCGCCTCAAGGTACGTTCACTCCTCCTCCTCCTCCTCCTCCTCCTCCTCCTCCTCCTCCTCTTCCTCCTCCTCCGTAGCCATTTTGGCTCAAGCCATGTGGCTCAAGATCGTCGCCGCAGGCCCCGCCGCCGTCGCTCCGATGCCGGGTACGCAGGACGCCCGCTGCGCGCGCGTGTCGCAGGACGCCCTCCGCGGGGCGCTCCTGGCGACGCATGCTGCTGCTGGGCTGACGGGCGGGCATCGCGAGGCACAGCGCCTCGCGCGAGCCGCCGAGGGTCTCCTGAGGTCGGCCGTCGCTGTGCTTGCGGCGCCGCCCGCCCCCGCCGCGCCCCCCAGGGCAACGGCATCGCCCGCTGTTGCCTCTCGGCGGCGGCGCCGTCCGCGTGGGCGAGGTGGGCGAGCGGGTGCGGGAGTGGCGACGCTGGCGGCGGCGATGGAGTGCGACGCGGAGGACGAGGAGGAAGGAGTGGTGCGCGCTGCGATGGGCGACGCGGCGCAGGGCAAGGACAACAGCACGGGCCAGGGCGGCCCGACGCCACTCCATGGCGCCGCAGCGCCGCGGGCGCTTGCTGGCCCCTCCGAAGCGGCCGAGGTGGAGCAGGACGCGCAGGTCGGTGAGGACCTGATCGACGACACCTGGGCCGATGGCCTGCGGCGGGCGGCGGCTCCTGCGGCAGTCGCTGCGGGAAGCGCGGGGCGCCCCAGGCAGAAGGGCGATCGCGTCCGCATCGTGGAGGGCCAGTACGCGGGGCGCACTGGCACGGTCGTCGGTGCAGGCGAAGCGGTCGCCCGAGTCCGCATCGATGGCGCTGGGCTGCGCACGAAGCTCGCCTTCGAGCCGTTCGGCAACATCGTGCGGGAGGACGGCGGGGGCAGCTCCGGTGCGGCGGGGGGAGGACGATAATGCCCAGTCGGGCCGTCCTCCCCCTCACGGACTTCTCCTTCGGCGCCCTCTTCGACGGCAGCATGTGTAAGTCCGTCTTCTGAGTTGGCCTTCTCGGCTTAGGCCGAGGTGGGGCACGACCCGCGCTTCGCGGCCCGCTTCTTCTTCTCCTTCTTCTCCTCCTCCTCCTCCTCCTCCTGCTCCTCCTCCTCCTCCTGCCGTCGCTGGCTTACTGCGGAAGACAGACGTGGTAAAGATCAATGGCTACCTGACGACACTGCGCGGGAAAGCGATGAGAACCCGCCCGCGGACATGATTGGCATCCAGAAATGGCCCTCGTCGCTGTCATCCGGGTGGGAGACGCTACGCCAGCATCTCTCTCGAATGCCTCTCTCGAAGCTGCAGCCAGTCCTCAGGACGCTGTCGGCGGCATTGACAACAAGCTACCTCATGCACGTCCACCCGCATAAACTCAACTCAACTACATATTCGGCCTACGGCGAGAACACATCGACCATGCTATCGCGCGCATGGCGGTCGCCTACAAGGCCTTCACTTGCCTGCGCCTCCACAAGCAGAGCAACCTGAACCCCTTCACGGCCTCCGACACCAAGGTCTGGGCGGTGGGCCACCGGGACAGATTCCTCAACAAGAACGTCGCGGCTGTCGCCGCCGCCCACCGTGCCCTGAGGCTGCCTGCTTGCCTCGTGGGCGGCGCGGGGCTGCGCAGCCGTCTATGATCGAACGGATCGTCCCCATCGGCGAACGTCCGCTCATCTTCCTCCTCCATATCCTCCTCGTCCTCCTCCTCTCCTCCTGTCCCTCCTTGTCCTGCCTCCTCCTCATCTTCCTCCTTCCGCCTCCTTCATGTTCCTCCTCCTCCTCTTCCTCCTCCTTCTCCTCCTCCTCCTCCTCCTCCTCGTCCTCCTCCTCCTCCTCCTCCTCCTCCTCCTCCACCTAGGGCCATCAGCACAGGCGCAAGGTCGCCGAGTGGTTCGAGGCAGTTCCACCCACCGTGTGCCCAGAGCAGACAGGTTGCCAGGTATGGAGAAGACTACGCTGCGCTGTGGCCTCCAAGTTCATTGGGGGCAGCTACACACAATATGCAGACGGCCGACGGACTCTGCAGTGCTGCGATGATCGAATGTTCTCGATCAGATCGGCGAACGTTCGTGCCCACTTGTGGCGCCACGCCCTTTCGGAAGGAGACATCCCGGGGGTATAGTTCAAGAAGGTCTGGGGTCATTCCAGTCAGGCAGACGTCCGTGAAGATCGCATGTCAGAATTCGCGAGGCAAGGTGGCCACGAATCGGACAGAGTTGGTCAGAACGGCGCGTCTCTCAGATGAGGCTGCCATACTATCGGACAACAGTATGCTGGTCGTTGCCCGGTTGGCGCTGAGTGTCATAACCACGGTTGCGTCTTTTTCATTCAGAGGGGGCAGTTTCGACAACGTTGGAGTCGAGGGACTCACTCTGATTTTCTCTGGGGGGTGGAGGTGTCGAGGTGGCCATAGACGAGGCCAGGAGGGAAAAGGCTGTGAAGGAGAAGCAGGCTGGCTGCTGCTTCGGACCGCGCCCCCACCCCCAGACGCTCCCGCTGAGGGCCCCGAGGCCAGCCCACCTCCCGAGGGCCTCAGTCCAGACCTCTGTGGCTTCGCTGAGGGACCGAAAAGAGGCTCCCAGGGAGGCAGGGGGGCCATCTCTCGCTCGAGTTCCCGGCGTTGCAGGAGGGAGCCCCTTCTACTGTGCTTGCCCCTCGTGCGGGAGCTACGCCACGGTGGCCCCAGCCGCGAGGGGACGCAAGGCAGCGTGTCTGTGGCGGCAAGCTGACTGTTTTGGCGCTCGCAAGAGAAAAACAGGGCGTCCCTTTGCAAGCCGAGGCACCCAGGCCGCCCTTTCAAGCTTGGACCGTGGCAGCTGCCAAGGGATTTGGCCCGCAGGTTGTTCCAAGGTGTGCTGGACAGGCCTCTTGCTGTGTCCAGCAGAGCGGCGGCCCATGTGGGCCAGGGGGCGGCGAGGGCCAGACACAGCCTATGCTCGGCGGGCTGCCTCCAGAGCGCTGGCTTGAACGACGACGGGGCCAGGAGTTCTGGCGCCAGGGTCCGAGAGCGGAGGTCCCGCGATCTCTATGACGACGAGAGTGGCGTTGTGTGTTCTAGGGGGGGCCTTGTCACGGGCCCACGGGGCGGCCTGTCAAAGCCGCTTCGTGGTGTAACAAGGTCCTTTTCCTATGGGCCTCCCCTTAGGTTTGTGGCTGACCACCGAACTTCGCTTGCTTTTCTCTCCCTTCAGTGGCGTGCGAGTATCCTCCTTCCGCCTCTCTCCTTCCGCGCACCCACGCACAGGCCTCCAGGCGCTGCCAGCCCTGCTGCCCGGCGTCCCCGCGCGGCTGCCCCCGCTGGCGCTCCCCGCGCCCACCGCGCGCGCTCCCCGCGCCGATCGGCCCCGTGCCGGAAAGGCTCCCGGACTCGCAGTGTCGGGCGGGTGGTGCCGGGGACCACCCCGATTCGTCGAGATTCCTCCAAAACATTCGACAAATTTGGCGACAAGACGGGCCCGAACACCATTGTCGGGCGGGTGGTAATGGGGTGACCTTCATCGGGGGGTGGAGAAAAGGGCCCCAAAGGGGTCCTGTAGGGCCCCTCTTGGAGCCAGCAGGGGCCGCAAAGGCGCCCTGAAGGGCCCCTTTCTAAGACATTTCTTTTCACCCTCCATGTAAGTCACCCCCCATGACCACCCGCCCGACAATGGTTTTCGGGCTCGTCTTGTCGTCGAAACATGTCGAAAGTATTCGAGGGATTTCGAAACTCGGGGTGGCTCCCATCAGCTGTTCCTCGTCGAGCGCATGCCGGCGGTGCCCGGGTCACCCCGAAAGGCAGACCGCGACCCGAACTGTGGCTCGAAAACCAACAGGAAATGTAATCGGATCCGATCTCACTGTCGATCTCATTCAACGGGACACCACGGGACACCACGGGACACCGCGGGACACCGCGGGACACCTCTCGATCTCACGATCGATCTCTGTATCGATCTCACTTTTTTTGGACACCACGGGACACCTCGGGACACCACATCGATCTCACTTTCGATCTCACTATTGATCTCACTCATCGGGACACTTCGGGACACCGCGGGACACTTGTCGATCTCACTATCGATCTCGCTTTCTGGGACACCACGGGACACCTCGGGACACCACATCGATCTCAGTATCGATCTCACGATCGAACTCACTATCGATCTCACTATAGATCTCACTCAACGGGACACCACGGGACACCGCGGGACACCACGGGACACTGCGGGACACCGCAAGCCACCGCCGGACGGACGGACGGACGGGCGGGCGGGGGAGAATCATTTGTCTTGATTTCGCCCTAGCAACTGCGGACACCACGGGACACCACGGGACACCGCGGGACACCGCGGGACACCGCGGGACACTGCAAGCCACGGGGGAGAATCATTTGTCTGGACTTCGCCCTAGCAACGGCGGACACCACGGGGCACCAGGGGACACCACGGGACACCGCGGGACACCGCGGGCCACCTCCAGACGGGCGGGAGCGGGAGAATCATTTGTTGTGGTTTTTCTCCTAGCAACTGCGGACACCACGGGAAACCACGGGACACCACGGGACACCACGGGACACCGCGGGACACCGCGGGCCACCGCCGGACGGGCGGGAGGGGGAGAATCATTTGTCTTGACTTCGCCCTAGCAACGGCGGGTTCGTTTCTCTCGCGCGCCCATGCAGCTTCGCCTCGCCCGCACGCACGACACGAACGAAACGAAACGATTTCCTGGTTGGGGGTCGCCGTTCCATTGCGATCTCGCCCCCCAACCTCCGATATATTCCCTGGCGATCTCGGGCATGACTGGGTGGCGGGGGAGAGGAGGGAGGAGGGGGCCTGTCATGTCGCGCTTCGCGCCAGCGCCGTCTAGGAATGCCCAAGATGGGATCATTCCCACACTGCGCTAGGTCGAATCGCCACGGCGCGGGGGGAGGGGGAGAAGGGCGGGCCGGTCACGGGCGCGATCGCGAATAATGAAAATGATTCCGATGGTAGGACTCCGCATGAGCATTTGCCAAATGAATCTGGAAGTACACCTCATCGTCGTCCATGTCATTGCGGAGGCTCTTTTTCTGTGTTCTTCTCACCATTATCTCTGGTGAGATGTCGGAGGTCCTCCTCCTCCTGCTTCTCCTCCTCCTCCTCCTCCTCCTCCTCCTCCTCCTCCTCCTCCTCCTCCTCCTCCCACTCCCTGGAGTCAAAAAATTACGTCATTTACAAGATTTGAACGGCCCGCTCGGATTCGAACGAGGAGGTGGAGACCCTATAGGGAGGGCTCCCGCCTGAGAGTTTCTCGCGATTCATTCACAGACGAGACTCCCGCTCGAGACATCCTCCACATTCAACCTGGGGAACCCAAAAGTGACGACAGCTAGAAGATTTGGATGACCCGCTCGGATTCAAACATGGAAGTTGAGACGCCATAGGTAGAGGGTTCCCGCTCGAGACTTCCTCACGGATCACCTACGAACGAGGCTTCCGGTCGAGTCATCCTCGAGATTCAGGCTTGAGGAGGTCAAGAGTGACGACAGTTACAATGTTTGGATGGACCGTTCGTCTTCGAACATGGGGGTGGGGACCCCATCGACCAATACAAGATTTGTCCGTAGCCATTTTGGCTCAAAATTTGGCCCACTCACATAGACCGGAAGGCGTCGGCATCGTTGCTGCTTTCTCACCCAAGCAGCAGAGATGGCGCCGATGATGAAGTCCACGGTCATGACCAAGAGCGCCCTCACCGCAGCACTCGCGGAGGCCTGCGAGGTCAAGAGGGGCGTGATCGGCACGGTCTTGAGCACCCTCGCGAGCATTGCGACAAACGAGGCGAAAAAAAATGGTAAGTTCGTCATCCCGGGCGTTGCGATGATCAAGACCCGCCAGAAGAAGGCGACCAAGGCCGGGAAACGCGAGATCTTCGGGAAGGTTGTCATGGTGAAAGCAAAGCCGGCCAAGACCATCGTTAAGGCCTTCCCCGCAAAGGCCCTCAAGGACGAGTTCTGAGGGCTTCCCAGTCTGTGGCGAGCCCCATGAAGAGGCTCCGCGTGTGCTTCTCCAGTTCCTCCTCGTCCATCCCGTCCTCCTCCGAACGATCTTCATGCCACACCTTGTCCAGGTTGGCTGGAGGGTGCGTGGTGATGCATGGCCTTCTGGTCCCAGGAAGCTCGGCGAGCCGACCACATGTACTCCACATCCGTCTCGCAGAGGGAAAAAGATTTTAACACACAAAACCAAAAAAACAAAACAAAACAAAAAACGACCATTACAAAATTTGTATGACACAGTTCGGATTCGAACGCGGAGGCGGGGACCCCATAGGGAGAGGGCTCCCACTCGAGACTTCCCCACGATTCATTCACAATCGAGGATCCCGCTCGAGGCTCCCTGAGGATGAGTATCTGAGTGTGTGCGGGGATCACATCGGGAGAAGGCTCCCGCTTGAGATTTCCTCGCGATCCACTCACGAACGAGAGACTCCGGCTCAAGACTTCCCCCAGAATTAGGCCTGAGGAGCCCAAAAGTGATGACAGGCATGGGATGTTGATGACCCCATTCGGACTCGAACTCGGAGGTGGGGACTCCACAGGAAAGGGCTTCCGCTCGAGACTCCCGCGCGATCCACTCACGAACGAGGCTCCCGCTCGACACTTCCTAAAAATCTCAAAATAAGTGTGCGATTGTGTGTGGGTGCGTGAGTGTTTACATGTGTGTGGATGTGTGACTGTGCGAGCGAATATGTGTGTGAGTGTGAATGAAATGAGGAGGGGGGGCAGAGGGGGGAGGCGTTGTACTCCGCGGGGGCGCCCAGAGAACATCATCGAGGCGAAGGACCCAACCATATGCGGCTGCGAGTACCGCAAGGCAGGCGGGACGAAAGAGAGGCAGCTCCTTATGGAGCCACGGAACGAAAAAGGGGTGTGCCGAATCGGATGCGGTGCCGCCATGCGAACGCAGCCAATGCGGCCTTCGGTGGATCTCCCGACGGGGCCACGAAACGTGTGAGGGCTGTGCCGAAATGGTGGCGACTACGCCATGCGAGCGCAGCCACTGGGGCCTTCGTGGAGCACCATATTGGGTCACGTTGCGTGAGAGTGTTGTGTCGAATCCAGCGCGGGTACGCCATGCGAGCGCACCCATCGAGGCCTTCGGTGGAGCTCCCCATAGGGGCCACGAAACGTGTGAGGGTTGTGCCGGGTCGGGGGCGGGGACGCCATGCGAGCGCAGCCACTGTGGCCTTCGGTGGAGCTCCTTATGAGGCCACGAAGCGTATGAGGTGTTCGCCGAATCGGGGGCGGGGGCGCCATGCGAACGCTGACGTTTGGGCAAAAGTTGATGCTTCCCGTGGGGCCAAGAAACGTGTAAGGGGTGTGCAGGATCGGGGTTTTAGTTGGGGCTCCTCATGAAGCCACGAAACGTCTGAAGGGTGTTCGGAATCGGGTGCGGGTGCGCCATGCGAACGCTGGCAGTTTGGCCTTCGCTGGGACTCCCTACTGGGGACACGAAACGTGTGAGGGGTGTGCTGACATGAACATACGAAGGGCAGAGGCAGGGATGGGAAGAGGGAGGAGGGGGCAGCGGGATGGAAGGAGATGCGGGCTGCCTTCTCTTCAAAATGAGGACCCAACGCCACAGGATGGCTGGGGACAAGAACCCCATTCAGGATATGGGGAACATGTATTATTTCTTTCTCGCCTCCAACCCCCGACTCTTCCACGAGAAGCCAAACCGGTCAGAAAAGGAGAGACACTCGGGGAGACACCCCCAGGAGAGCTACCCTGTTGCACCCCATACCGAGGATGGACGCCCGACGATCGTGTATCCCCGAGTTTGGCCCAAAATTGTTGGTTCACTCGAAAGTTCCATTCGGAAGTTTCACGAAGTCGGGGATGGGGGCCGACATGTCGTCTGTTACGGACGTTCTCGGACGCTTCCGTCGGTTACTCGGGATGCTTGTCAGCGGTTGCGCCTTGCCGAGAGCGGCCCACGACCTTTTTTGAGACTCCGCCCAGAAGGCAGCCACCTTTCCTCCACCTCTTGAGGAGTTCTCATGGGGGTAAATTGGCCCATCCTGGGCTGTCTTGGGCTTCTGTGGGGCAGTCTTCGTGAACCCTAAGGGGCTCTTTTCGGCCGTCCTAGGGCCATCTTTGGGTTGTTTTGGAGCCCTTTCGGGTCGTCCTGGGGCTCTCTTGACCATGCTGTCGTGGGAGTGTGTTGAGGCATTCTTGGACCGCCTAGGGGCCCTTTTAGTTCGTCTTGGATCCCTCCAGGGACCCTCTTGGAACAACCTGAAGCTTTCTCGGGGCCGACCAGAGGCCCTCTTGGAGCTTTCGGTGGGCCGCACTCATGCCCTCCAAGACCGCAAGTGGACCGACTTTCGGCCAACGATCTTAGAAATCGAAAAAACACTGAACGCACTGAACTCTTCAGGCCCTCCTGGACAGCGCATTGGGCTGCCTTGGAACCTCTATTCGGGCATGGTGGGCGCCTCTTAAGAGCTGGTGGGAGCCTCTCAGTCTTGGGCCCATGTTGAGCCATCTTGGCGGCCTCCGTGGCCTTCCCAGAGGCCGTCTTGGAAGCCTTGGCGAGCGCAGCAGGGCTCCAGGGAGGCGTCGGGCCGCCCAGGGGGGCCTTGGGAGGGAGGGCCGACGCACGCCAGAGTCCCCCCTGGGGCTGCCCGAAGGCGCGTGCCTGGACGCTCCCCGGGGGCGCCCGAGGATGCCTGCCAGGGCGCTCCCCGGGGGCGCTCGGAGGTGCCTGCCAGGACGCTTCCGGGGCAGTGGTGCCTGGCGGCAGGTTGAGGCCGGAGGAGGGCCAGAAGTCCGCGCAGGACTTGTGCGCACAAGTGCCGCCATCTGGAGGCGCGGTGGATCCTCGGCCCTGAGAGCGGTGCACGGAGCACGGCTGTTCGGTCCTGAGAGCCGCAATCACTACGCCCCACGCCGCGCCGGAGCAGGGCAGGGAGGGAGTCCGGACGTGGTGCGGTGCATGGGCGCCGTTCTCGTAGGAAGGGCCGCGCTTCGTGGCCGTGGGCGGTATCGAACGTCGGCGAACCTGCTCGATTCCTGAAATGAGTATTGTTATGTTTTCCCTTGGTAACTCCTTTGGGATGTTTGTCGGCCAGGCTCGTGTTTTTTTCTCATGTGATACTATTTCTCCGCAGCTTGTAAGCTCAGTCTTCTCATCTCCTCCATTTCGTCTCATCGGAACCCCATCTTGGGACAAACTGCGTCCTGCTTGTTCGTTGCTCGGGCATCCTGGTCGATCGATAGTTGAACGGTCTGTGCTAGTTGTTCGTCTCGTTGTTTACCCTTCTCCACGCTCCCTGCTGTTGCCGCCGCTGCCGCTTCTCCGCCATGCGGTATCGTGTTAAATTTCGTGGTTCGCTCCCAGTGGAGCTGCGCTCGTGGGGGCATGCCCCCCCGAACAAAAATGACTCGTCAGTTTGCCCGTGGCTGACTCTGACCCCCAGAACGGTCCCGCGGATGGACAGCCTGCCGACTCCATACTCACACTTCTAAGGTTGGGATCGCGCCATTGGGGTCTTGATGCATGATGGAAGATTAGCCTGGCGAAGGATCCAATCATATGCAGCTGGGAGCATCGCGGGGCAGGTGAAATGGAGGAGGGGGGCTATCACAAGGACTGCGGCGTTCATAGGAAAAGGAACAGCGGGCAGGGGCTCGCGGGGGGATGTTTTGTTTTGCCCGGACCCCGAACTCAGACGTTATCGTGCACATGTCCTTCCCATCTCGTTCGCCCGCCCTTGTTTCCGTTGTGCATTGCGTTCCTGCCCGCCAGGCGCCATGAAGCGAGGGGGTATGCCGAATCAGGTGCCGGGTGCAGGTTCGCCATGCGGACCCGGCCGCTGGGCCTTCGGTGGAACTCCCTATTGGGCCATGAAAGCGTATGGGGGGTGTGCCGAAACAGAAACAGGTGGAGGCAGAGGCAGGGATGGGAGGAGGGAAGAGGGAGCGGGAGGAGGAGGAAGTAGGAGCAAGGACGCGGGGTGCTGTCTCTTCAGAACGAGGACCCAACTTCACAGGACGATTGGGAAAAATGAACCTGACCCCAGAAGTCTGAACCCCACAGCAGTCGCACGACATGTACACCCATCGATAATGTTAAGAAGAAGAAGCGACTTCAATGGAGTCTAGGTCTTGCTGAATAAGATCAAGAATCTAGACTGGGCCCTGGGCGTTTTCTTGGAACGTTCGTACATCTGGATCTGGACTACGGTTTAAAATATTAGAGAGGCGTCCATGCTCTTAGCCCAAAAACTTGTAGCTCTAAGCAGCCCCAGCCGTCTGCCACGAGCCCGAGGATCGGGCGGACGGCAACGGTTCCGGTGCGGCCAAGAGGGGGGGGGGGGATGACGATGCAAAACACCATGTCAAAGCCGAACGGTGCAACCTCAGTTTGTCACGAGACCGGCTGAATGTAGACGAATAGCAAAAACAGACGACAAACACACAAAGGGGGGGGATCTCATGGCGGGGGCCGTGTTGTCTCCCCAAATGTCCTGGTGCCTCTTCTTATTCCAGTGCGTCCCCAACCCGCCCCCCCTGGGCCGCGCACATGCCGCTGGCCATGATTTGCGCCCCACCCCACTCTTGGACGCCGCCCTCCTGGACGCCCCCGAGCGGCCTAAGCCGGAGCGGTGGAGGAGGCGCAGAGGGTCGGGGAGCAACACATGAGGCGTTCCAGCAAGGGCCTTGCCTTCGAGGATCGACGAAGTTGTCGTCTCTTCCTCGGCGGAAGGCGGCGGAAGTAAAATGGGGGCGGCTCCGCTGGCGGAAGACGGCGGAAAGTTGGCAGAAGCCTGCGGATGTAAAAAGTTGCCCTCCAAGAGAGGACAACATGTTTGGGTTCAGGGTTTCTGGAGCTGCCGAATGACATTACCTCCTGGCGGCGCCTCCAGCGCAGCCCCATGGCGCGCGGAGCGCGCCAGGGAGGGAGATCCAGTGCCGATCCGAGGAGTTCGCGCGGGCCTCCGAGTCTTTCTGTTTATGCCACTGTTTGTTCCCCTAGGTGGAGGGGGTGCCCAGGGAGGTGCAAAGGTATTCAAAATAGTTGACACGTGGATGCAGTAGTTTGCGGTCTGGGCGCAATCGTTGCGCGTGGATGTCAACCGCGCGCTCCAACTCGCGCCCCCCAGCAACAGTTGAGATGCAAGGAACAGTCAGCGCCCGCGTACACTGTATTGCACCTCCCCCTGTCCCCCCATTTGGGTTGCCCCCTTCGCTCACGCAGAAAACAGGGGAGGGGGCAATAAACGTAGTTAGGGGGATCGAGGGCTGCAGGAACATGGCCCAAAGCGGCCCCCAAACTGCCACCGCGAGCCCAAGAGGTGCACGAGAGGTGCACGCCTCTTTGCCCAACATATTCCCCCCCCCCCGCGTTAACGAACACCCGAGAGGAGGAGTTACGCGTACCACTCGTGAACGCGCTGCATGTGTACCCCAGTTGTTTCAATATTCTCGATTTCTGACCGGGCCACGCTTTCTCCTCGTCGTCGTCCTCCTCCTCATCCTCCTCCTCCTCCTCCTCCTCCTCCTCCGGGCTTTTTTCCACGTTGTGGCGATCGCAGCGTTGAGCGGCGCTCCTGCGCCACACCCGCAGCACCCTAGTTGGTGCCAACGCGCGGGGGGGCGGTCTTTGGTGTCCTGGAGGTGATTCAGGGAGGTGGTGGAGGTGTGCTGACGTGAGGCATAGCATTAGATCTCTGCTCTGTGTGGCGGTGGAGGTTCGCCCATGATGTATGGTGTGCGTAGGTTTCGTGTCGGGTCGACGCGGCGCCGACCCCGCCGCGGGCGTTCAAGACGCCGCCGGTGGCCCAGAACCGGCCAATATGGAAAGATTTGGCGGTCGAAGAGTCACCGACCGTTCCAGGTGGAACCATCCACACGGTGTCAGAAACCATGACCGAAGTCGTCCCGACACGAACCCGCCGTAGCCAGCATTATCCGCCATGTCTTTCCTCGGATTACAGACTTTCAGTTTTATGCGCAAGGTGTGGTAGATTGGTCCGCTGGTCCTCGATCCAGGGGACTAGCGATCGTCACCGCATCCCACAGATCACGGGAGGGTTCGGCTCCTAGGGCTTTACATGTCGCGACAAGAGGAGGAGGGGTGAAGGAGGAGGATGGGGGAGAGCCACGAGGAGGAGCAAGAGGAGCAGAAGGAGGAGCACGGGAGGGGAATAAGAACACGTGGTCCAGGATCCTGAACCCCCCGACGCCCCCAGGGATCCCCGGGACCAAAATCCTCGATCGTCGCGGGCAAAGTTTAGCCAGCGGGCGTTATGCTTCCGCGCCCTGTGCCCACCTGCGCCGCCCCCGAGGCCGCCGACTTGGGGTCGGTCGGCCCGGCCGCTCCGACGAGGACGTTGCAGCCGCTGCCGCAGCAGGAGCAGCCGCAGCGGCCGCAGCCGCTGCAGCCGCAGCAGCGGCAGCAGCCTCTAAGGACCTGGGGGCCCAGAAATCATTGAGGATAAAGGAGCCCCTAACCCGAATTACACAGTGAAGACGTGGCCTCACTGAGGTCCCCGTCTTCGCATTAGGGATATTAAGTTTGGGCGATTCCGTTTGATACATCTGCACAAATGACCCTATCCCTAATGGTTTTGGCCTCCTAATTTAGGTCCCCCACAAAATGGTTAGGGGTGCTTCAACTGCGTATCAAGAAAGGCGCGGCCCAGGAAGCTCCGAGGAGGTAGATCAAGCGGTGCCGCTGCTCGTCCTGGAGAGCCCGCGTCGCGACAGCCGGACGGTCCTTGACTTGTGGGTCAGATTGTTTGCAGCGCGGACACAATGCACCAGCGGCGTCGAAGTCCGCAACCCGACGGACACTGAGCGAAGGTCGGAGACCTGGGAGGCAAGCCAGGGCTCGGGCGTCGTGGGCAGAGAATGGAAGAAGAGACGGAGGAAAGGAGGAAAGCAACTGCTCATTCTTCTTGCTACTATTATTGTTCTTCTTTGGGAGGCGAGCCAGGGCCCAGGCGTCGTGGGCAGAGGATGGAAGAAGAGACGGAGGCAGGGAGGGGGGCAACTGCTCCCGCTCGCCGATCGGCTCACGGCCGCGCAGCTCACAGCCCTGCGCACTCGAGTCATGGAGCCCGGAGGGGCGCTGCTGCTCCCCACCGTGCTGCCGGACGCCGCACTGCCCGTCGACGGTCAGCTGCTCACAGCCGCGCTGCCCGCCACACTGCAGCTCCCACTCCACGATTCCGCGTGGCGCTGCAGATCCCCAATGTGGAAACAGACATCGTGCTGCGTATCTTCGCCGTGCTGCCCAACCGGGCGGAATTGCGGGCAGTTATCCGGCCGCCACACGCCAAGATCGGACGCGCTGCCAGGACACGAAACCCATAGTTCCGAAGTGTGTGGTGACATCCTCTTGGTGCCACCCCGCCGATGGCGGCATCCTGCTGCCGCTACGTGGAGCCATGAGCCATGGTGCTGCACTCCGCCACGCTGCCAGACGAGTTAGGCGCTCAGAGCCGAGGTGCTGCGCTCCGTCGTGCTGCCTCGCCGTCCAGGACCCGCCTCCCCCATGCTAAATCGTGCTCTTCCGGCGTGGACCTCACAGCGCAACGGCCCGGACGCCGCCCCGGGGCAGTGCCGCGGCAGTCTGTTCGCTCCGCCGCGCCGCCGCGCAGGGCCCGACCGCCCCAGGGAGGGCTTCTGGCCCCATTCCCCGGCGTGGGCGCGCGGCACCTCCCGACGTTGCCGCCCCGCCCACGGTCTGTCCACCCGAGAAGGGGGCAGGGCCAGTCCGCCGTCCGCCCCGGCATGTCCTCTTCACCAGCGCCAGGGGCGCGGCCGCCGCCCTGGAGGCTGCGGCAGCGGTTGCCGCGGCTGGCGTGCCGCTCGGGGGATCGGGGGCTCCGCGTCTGGGCGTTGCGGCTCGTTTACGGGCGCGGGCCTGGGTGAGGTGCGCGCCTCTTGGACGCTCCTTGGGCGCGCGCCTCGGTCTGGCTGGGAGCAAAGTCAAGCTTTACCATTGGAGTCGGAACGGTGTCGTGTGTGTGTGTGTCCTCCCCGTGCTGCTCGACGGTGGATGTCAGAGTCGTGGTGATGCACACCGTCGTGCAGCTCATCGTTGTGCTGCGGGCATTCGTTGTGGCACTCGACGAAGGAAAGAGCGCGTTCTGTGGCCGCTTGGAGGGGGCGGGAGGGGTCCGGAACCGCCCCCCCCCTGGTTCAAGAGGGGAGGGGGGGTTCGAACCCCCCCCCCTTGGCCTGCGCTGGCGCCGACGGCGGCCCCCCTCCCCCTCCTGGGCCGGCGGCAGCTGGCAGCGGCGGCGGGGAGCGTCGACGTGGACGACGATTCAAGAGGGAGAGGAGGGGTTCGAACCCCCCCATTCCTCCTCTGGGCCGGCGCCCGCGCCAGCGCCAGCTGGTGGCGGTGGCGCTGCGGCCGGTCACGACGACAACGACGACGACGACGACGACGACGACGACGACGACGACAACAGCGACGACGACGACGACAACAACGACGAGCACGACGAAGACGACGACCACGACGACGACGACGACAGCGACGAAGATGAAGACGGCGGCGACGGCGATGACGACGTCCACGACGACGACAACGACGACGACGCCAACGACGACGACGACGACGACGACGAAGACGACGTCGACGACGTCGACGACGACGACAACGGCGACGACGACGACGACGACGAGCACGACGAAGACGACGACGACGACGACAGCGACGAAGACGACGACGACGACGACGACGGCGACGGCGACGACGCTGACGACGACGACGACGATGGATGGCGACGACGGCAACGACGACGACGGCGACGACGGCGACGACTACGACGACGACGACGACGGCGACAACGACAACGAAGACGACGACAGCGACGACGATGACGACGAGCACGACGAAGACGACGACGACGACGACGACGACGACAGCAACGAAGACAGCGACGACGACGGCGACGACGGCGACGACGCCGAGGACGGCGACGACGACGAAGATGGATGGCGACGACGGCAACGACGACGACGACGACGACGACGACGGTGACGACGACGACAACGATGACGGTGACGGCAATGACAGCGAAGACCACGACGACGACGCCGACGACGATGACGACGACGGCGACGACGAAGACGAAGGCGACGACGGCGACGACGAAAACAACGACGACGCCGACGACGATAACGACCACGACGACGATGAGCATGACGACGACGACGAGCACGATGACTGCGACGACGACGACGACGAAGTCGACGACGACGACAACGGCGACGACGGCGACGACGACGACGACGATGACGACGACGAGGACGACGGTGGCGACGTCGACGACGACGACGATTACGACCACGACGACGAAGACGACGACCACGATGACAACGACAACGACGACGAGCACGACGAGCACGACGACGACGAAGACGACGACGACGACGACGACGGCCCCGACGACGACGAAGACGACGACGACGGCGACGACGACGAAGACGACGACGAAGACGACGACGGCGACGACGGCGACAGCGACAATGACGACGACGACAACGACGACGACGTGCACGACGACGACGGCGACGACGACGACGACCACGGCGAAGGCGACGACCACGACGACAGCGACGACGACGACGACGATTGCGACGGCGGCGGCGACGACGACAAGGCAACGACGACGACCACGACGACGGCGACGGCGACGTCGACGACGATGGGGACGTCGATGTCGACGATGACGACGACGACAACGACGACGACGACGCCGACGACGTTGACAGCGACGACGACGACGACGACGACGACGACGACGACGACGACTACAGTAACGACGACGACGTCGACGACGACGAGCACGACGACGGCGACGGCGACGACGACGACGACGGCGACGACGGCGACGACGTTGACGGTGGCGACGACGACGACGACGACGACGGCGACGACAACGACGACGACGGCGACGCCGACGACGACGACGTTGACGACGACGACGGCGACGGCGACCACGACGACGACGGAGACGACGACGAAGACGACGACGTTGTCGACGACGACGACGACCAATCGACGACGACGACGATGACGAAGACGGCGACCATGGCGACGACGACGACGACGACGACGATTACGGCGACGTCGACGACGACCATGTCGACGACGGCGACGACGACGACGATGACGACGAGCACGACGGCGACGGCGACGACGACGACCACCACGACGACGACGATGGCGACGACGACAACGACAAGCATGACGACGACGACGACGACGACGACGACGACGACGACGGCGACGGCGACGACGACGACAACGGCGACGACGGCGGCAAAAACGACGGCGACGGCGACGACGCTGACGACGACGACGGCGACGACGACGAAGAGAATGACAACGACAACGACGACGACGACGACGAATGATCTGAAGACAGCGACATCGACGACGACTACGTCGACGACTGTGACGACGACGACGAAGTCGGGGACGAAAACCACGACGACGACGACGACGACGACGACGACAATGACGACGACGACGACATCGACGACGACGACGACGACGACGGCGAGCACGATGACCACGACGACAGCGACGAAGACGACGACGACGACGACGACGACGACGACGACGACGACGACGACGACGACGACGGCATCGATGGTGACGATGACGACGACGACGACGACGACGACGACAACGACCACGGCGACGACGACGACGATGGCCAGGACGACGACTACGACGACGACGACGACGAAGACGACGATGACGACGACGACGGCGACGGCGATGACGGCCACGACTGCGGCGACGACGACGACGACGACGACGACTACGACGACGACGACGACGACGACGACGACGACAACGTCGGCGACATCGGCGATGACGACGACGCCGACGCCGACGACGACGAGTAGCACGACGACGACTTCGGCGACGACGACGATGACGACGACGGCGGCCACGTCGACGACGACGACGGCAACGGCGACGACGGCGACGACGACTGCGACGACGACGACGACGGCGACTACGACAACGACGACGATGGCCACGACTGCGACGACGACGACGACGGCGACGACGACCACGACGAATACGACGAGCATGACGACGACGACAACGACAACGACGATGGCGACGACGACGGCGACGGCGACCACGACGACTGCGAGCATGACGACGGTTTGGACGACCACGACGGCGACTGCACCATGACGACCACGACGGCGACCACGCCGGTTTCGAGCATGAAGACGGCGACGACGACGACGACGTCGACGACGACGAATACCACGCCGACGCTGACGACGACGACGACGACGACGACGACGACGACGACGACGACGACGACGACGACGACGACGGCGGCGACGACGACGACGACGACGACGGCGACGACGGCGACCAGTGTGAGGCAGTTTTGAGGCCTCTTGGGGGCCGTGTTGGGGCCTTTTGGGGCCTCTTGAGGGCCTCTTGGGGCTTCTTGGTGTGCCTGTTGGGGGCCCCTTCGGGCCTCTCTGGGGCCTCTTCAGGACTCCTGGGGTCCTCTTAGGGCTGAAGGCTGGACTTTTCGATCCCCGTCTTGCATCCCTCTTGGGGCCGTCTTGCGGCCCTCTTGGGCCATCTTGGGCGCCTCTTCGGCCGTCTTGGGGTCATCTTGGGCCGTCTTGGGGCCCTCTTGGAGGATTCTTGCGCCGCCTTGGGGCGGCCTTGGGAGCCTCTTGGGCCGTCTTGGAGCGTCGGAAAGCTGAGAAGGCGAGAAGGCCAGAATCTTTCGAAAACCATTGTAAAATTAACGATTTGGGCCTCTCGGGGCCTACTTGGGGCTCTCTTGGGAGGCCTCTTGGTGGCCGATTCGGGGGTCTTGCACGCGTCGTGGGCCGTCTGGAAGCCATCGTGGGTGTCTCGGGCCATCTGGAGACCATCTTGAGCGTTTTGGAACGACCTTTCGTCGACTCGGGGCCTCTTGGGCCATGTAGGGGGCGTCCAGGCGCCCTCTTGGCGCGCTCCTGGAGCGCCCTGGGGGAGTCAGCCGGGCCTCGCCCAGGCATCGCTCAGGCATCGCCCGGGGTACTGTTCGTCCAGGGGTCCCCAGGGACCGCCACGCGCGCGCGAACTAGAAATATTGTTCTGTTACTACCGGAGATCTTAGCACGCCTCTGGCCCGTTGGGCCGGTGCATTTGAGGTCTGGGCCCGGCAATATTCCAGGAGCCAGGGCCGAGGACAGAGGACTACAAGGGACCTTGTCGTCGTCGTCTTCGTCCTGGTCATCGTCGTCGCGTCGCCGCCGTTGGCGCTGACGGCCGCCGCCACCGCCTGCGCTGGGAGGACGGGGGGGGGGTCGGGGAGGGGCGGAGGGGGGGCGGGGAGTCCCCCTGGTTCTGTTCGACGGCGCCGAATGTTCAGGGGGGGACCCCCCTGGTTCAAACGCGCCGCCGAATGTTCCCAAGGCAAGCGCCCGTGAAACGCGCTCCCTCCCACGAAGGGATGCAGGCTCCCGTCCTGCCGCGCGATGGCCGATGGTGTGTGTCAGAGTCGCATTGCTGTGCTCCGTCGTGCAGCTCCGCGCCGCAGTGCTTGGTTTCGACGGGTGTGCCGGCGACATAATGCAAGTATCCGCCTGGCTGCACCACGTGGGATACCAGAGTCATGGTGCTGCGCTCCGTCTTGGTGCTCAGCATCGTGCTGCTGGTGCCCGTCGTGCTGCCGGGAGACGTTTGCACATGCCGTGCCCGCCCAGCTGCACAATGATGGATGACACGGGCGTGGGGCTGCACTCCGTCGCGCTGCGCAGCGTCGCGCCACTGGTACCCGTCGTGATGCTCGTCGGCATGATGCGAAGACTCATCCTCAGAGGCCTTAGAAGTTGGCGCCATTACCAGTGCCGGCGGTTGCCTCCACCGAGGGAAGATGATCCTGTTTTCGGTAGGGGTTAAGAAGTGGGCTTCTTAGGTGGCCGAGAGATTTCCAGCAGCACCGACGTCCAGGATCATTTTCACTTGGTGTAGGCAATCCCCTGTGTGTGCTGCCGAGCCTCCAACATCCTGCTGTTGGATGGTAGATGCGACCAGGCGATGCACACCGTCCTGCTGTTCGTCGTCGTGTTGCTGCTGTTTGTCGCGTTTCTCTGCGACGTGCTGCAGGTAGTGTGCTCGTCCTGCTGCTCACTGGCGGTTGTCGGAGCCGTGGCATTGGTATCTTCCGTTTTCTTCACGACTCGATCGATGTTCCATAGGACGTGTGTTAGTCCAAGCGTGTGTTTACCCCGCTCGGTTCCGCCGACAGCGCGCAGCCTGTGTCGGCCCTCGTTGCGCCTCCTGCGTCGTATTGAAGGGCCTCAGTGAGCAAACACACGTTGGCACTAGCACACGTTCTGAGGATCATCGACTCGAGCACGCTTTGACAAAACTGCACCAGCGAGCCCAGCGGCGGGCGGCGCCACCGCGGGACGGCGAACGGCGGACGGAACGACCGGGGAGGCGCTCATGGGCGAAAGCTGCGTGCGCACGGGGCGCTCCAGACAGCGCCTCCCCTTTCGGCGCAGCTCGCCTCGGGCAGGAGGTCAGCGGAAGGCCAGCGGAACGTGGTGGAAACAAATCGGGGAAACGTAAGACTCGAGTAATTAAGCCGGAACTCGGGTTTGCCGAAGTTTTTTGAGTTTGCCGAAGTTTTTTGACGAGCGCGTCCTGGATTTCGACGGTCCAGTGTTCGTGGGATGTTTGCAGCGGGAGCTCGCGTCAAAATTCAGATGGGGTCTGGTCATTTTCATGATGGCCCCGTCAGGCCAACCCGAGTCCCCTGTACCCGAGTCTTACGTCTCCCCGAACAAAGCGAGACGTCGACGTTTTTGAGTTCAGGTTTCTTGAAGATTGCCGCATGCGGCCGCATGTCTTCCCAGCGCCGGTCCATCGCGTTGGCAGATTCGTGGGTCCCCCGAGAGGGCTCTCCAGCAGGTGGCCCCCGCCTACTCCATACGTGAGTCCAGCCTTGTGCTTTGCTAGCTCTCACGCCAGTAGCTCGTAAACTGGCTTGCAGCCGAGAAGGAGGCTCGAAAGTGGTCGGGCGGGGCCAGGACGGGAATGAGTGTTCCGGAGCGCTGTCAGAGCGTTCCGGAGCGCTCTGGAACGGCGTCGGTGCTTGATGTATTTTCCAGGGCCGCCGGATCACCGCTCGTCTTGGGTTCGGCGTGCATCATTTGCACATGTCACCCAGCCGCTACGTGATGGTTCATTTTTGTTGTTTCCCGAGGTCTTTGTGGAGCACTCCTCAGCAGCATCGCCAGCCCCTATCCCGAAGCATCGCGCCCTCAGTCCCGCCCAACAGGAGCAAGAAAAATCACGATAGAGAAATATGATGGGGGCGTCGGTTAAGGAACGTACCAAGGAGGCTTCTTCAGACTTTCTGGGTCGGAAGTGATATCCATGGCCAATCCAGGATTGGAGTTCCACCGGCTTCCACACCCTGGATTCCTCATCCAGTGGTTCCTTATCCCATGTGTTCACCGTATATGGAACGACATTGCCGATAGGAGCAGAAGGTGGCGTGCAAACATAGATATGCAACCCGCCGAGCACTCAAGTACGCGTCGGGCTCGATGAGTGCGATGCTATCGGCGGCGGTGGATGAGCCATCATCGTGAAACAGCGATTCCCTCCATCAACGGCGACGAGTTCGATGGCGACTACGAGTAGTTAAGGGAATAAACAGCGAGGTCATGATGCAACGACTTGGAAGTTGTATTCAGCATCGGCGCTTGCCTATCCGTGTTCGAAAATCGGACAAGCCCGGCATAAACTTGGCGGACTTCCGCCCAAACAAGTTGAATCCCGCACACTCGGATTTAATCGTGGGTTTAGTCAGGGCTAATCTGGCTGAGTGGCACTTCGCCAGGCTTAACAGCCCCCCATCGATTGACGAAGACCTCCCAGGAGTTGCTTCCTAAGTTAGGACACCTTCGGGACCCAAACAGCACTAGAGCACCAGGGCAACCATCGGAAATCGATTCGGGCACTCTCGGGCCGCGATCTAAAACCAAGGGGGCACCATCGGGACACCATCGGGACATCGCCGTGACACTGGGACAGGACGCCACCCGGGACGCCACCAGGAATTCGCGCTTGCCGCCCGCCTCGAGCATCAGGAGGGGGCACTGTTTCTCCTGGCCTCTGGGCATCCTTTTCGAGCGACAGCGACTTGGGTGGGCGTTGCTGAATGGGCATGGGGCGATAACAGGGAGATGGAGAAACGTGCACCTTTCGTTCCCATTCTGAGTCCCAGTGGGCCCCTTCAGGGCCCCTAAGGTGCACAAAAGGTGCACTTTTCTTCGCCCTCCCATCTATCTCCCCCCTCGGTACGCAACGCCCGGCCTGGGCAACTCGCGCACGGCCACGCACGCACGCCACGCGCATAACGACGACGTCACACCGCCACGCACGTCACGGCCCGCCACGCGCAACACGACGCCGCACGCACGTCGCGCACGTCGCGTGCGGCACGACGATGGCGTGAGCGGGTTCGCATCAGCTTGCGCACGCACACACAGGCGTCGGGCGCTCGCGAACGATGGAGACTCCAGCGATGCGGTATTTTTCCGTGCGCGGTCCCTGCGAGGTGCCGACCCCTTCCGCGAGGCCGGCTTTTCGACCCCGAGCAATGTGTTCTGGCCCCGGGGCCCGATGACCGGCCCTGGATATCGAAATCGAGGGAATACGCCAGGATCAACAAAACTATAACCGTTGGAAGTCTGAAGCTGCCTAGGGGCAGGGCATCGTCGGACTGACACGGCGGAGGAACAAAAATCACATCGTCGGAGATCCAATGGGTCGTCCCCGCGAGGACGCCAGCTGCGCACCCAGAGCAGCAGCCACCACAGCAACAGCCGCCAGAGCAGGCGGCGCAGCCCGAGGTTATGGAGGCCCGATCGGGTCAGCGTTAGCGGGGGTCGGCTTACAGTGGGGGCACGCATCAAGAAGCCATATGCTTTTCGTCAGGGTGCCCTGGATTTCTTCGCTCCTCGCCCTGCGCGGTGCCTTCCCGCGGCCGTTGAAGAAGCTGCTGCGTTCAGAGCGCCCTGGGCTTCCCCCCAGTCACACCTCTCGTGCGGGTCTTCAGGGCTGGGTTTCTTGCGAGGGTTTCTTGCGGCAGCGCCCGCACTGTCGGGGGCAACGTTGCGGGATAAGCTACCGAGGAGACCGTGTTTTCTCCCCTGGCGATAACAGGAATGACCTTAGGGGGAAGCCAGGGAGGGGGCCAGTCACGTCACGATTCGCGCTGGCGTCGTCTGGAAGTGCCTAAGAATGGCTAGTTCCCAGACGGCCCGATCTGGGGCAACGTTCGGGGGGGATGGGCTTATGGGGCAATGTTCGAGGATAGGCTCACTCGATGTCTGTTCATGGAAGAAGCTCTGGGCTGCGACATTGACACCAGCTACCCCTGCATCTGGCTCGCATTTGGACCGCATCGGGTCCTTCCTCCTGCTCCTCCTCGCCCCTCCTGTTCCTCATCCCCCTCCTCGTCGGTCTCGTCTCCCTTGTGAATGGGCAGACCCAGTACAAATCTGGTCCAGATCCAGTCCCACCTGTGCTCCAAGTCCAATCCAAATCAGGCCCAAATCAGACAGCGGCAGGGACCACGTCGGCTCCCATGGAACAGGCACCAAAGGCTCAGGAGATGTTCGAGGTGTTCGAACGTGCTCGTCGATGTCGGTTGTTTCGCCTCGGGATGCTTTCCAGGGGCTGCGCCTCGTCGAGAGCGTTCCGGGGGGTGCTCTGATCGTCCCGAACGGCCGCCGGAGACACGAGTTAGGCCGCACTGTCGAAGCTGACCCCCGCTTCTGAACCTGTTTGCTCACGCGGTGGCGGATGTTGCATGTAGCGCGCAGGGATATTGCACTCGAGCTTTTTTCGCGTCCCCAAACTTGAGGGCACCAAGAAGACTAGGATCACTGGCTCAGGGAGTAATGCATTGACCCCCAATCGCTGATAGGGGCCCGATAGGCCACCCCGCCCAGGCAGGTGCGGATTTGATATTTGGGGCCCATCGCCGATCTATCGGCAATGTATCGCCGAATCCAGGTCGATGTTTCCCCCCGAGCTGGTCTTCCCTTCTCGTCTTCCCTCATTCGTGTATGCATCCCTGCGCGCATGTGTGTACGCACATCTCTACGCACGACGGTCAGCATTCTCTCTCTCTTTTTTTTTTTCTCTCTCTCTCTCTCTCTCTCTCTCTCTCTCTCTCTCTCTCTTTTTGTTTTTCTCTCTCTCTCTCTCTCTCTCTCTCTCTCTCTCTCTCTTCAACGCAGTCTCAACAGCGCTCGTCTGTGCACAGAACGCGGCGCAGCCACGTCCAGCGCCGACGTTCGTGTGTAGATGCCGTGTGTTTTCGATGATGGGGTCATGGGTCAAATTACATGCACGTGCTTGATAACAGTCTGATGCAGCCTTCGGCGTGACCTGGTCTGACCCCACCAGTGCCGAAAAGCCCGTCACAAGAATTGCACTTATGCCGTGCAGCTCCGCTGCAGCCAATACGTAACATGTGTGGCAGGGGTCGAGTTACTGGGCAAGAGGGCGCGACTCAGCAGGCACGCGCACAGCATTCAGCACGCCAACGCTTACCCTCCACCTGTTGTTTTGTATGACCCTTTGCAAACATCCGGAGCACTTCAAACATGTCATAGTCATCATCACTTGCCATTTCCCGTCCCCCTGTTCCTTTCCCGTTCTCTCCCTCATCCTCCTACCTCGTCCTCCTCCTCCCCGTACCTCATTCAGGTTCCCCCTCCTCCCCCTGGCTCCCCCCGATATTCCTCCTACCTCCTCTTCCTCTTTCTCCTCCTCCTCCTCCTCCTCCTCCTCCTCCTCCTCCTCCTCCTCCTCCTCCTCCTCTTCCTCCGCCTCTTCCCCCTCCTCCTTTTGTCACGCTCCGCATTATTATCCTCCTCGTCCTCCTCCTCCTCCTCCTCCTCCTCCTCCTCCTCTTTCCCCCTCCTCCTGTTGCAAGCTGGGCGGAAGAGATCGTCAGGGCAGCGCGCACCGCCAACATGCCAGTCCATAGCTTGCGTTGAGAGGATCGCACGGAAGGCCCACATGGCAGCTACGGCATGGACGGTTTCTCTCGCTATGTTTCTGTTCAACCCCCTGTCCGCCAGACCCGATAGACGCATGGAAAGATTCGAGGAGTCACGCAAGTCCGATGCCAGCATCCCGCCAGGAATCGCGAGATGGAAATGAGGGGCGCACGTGATTCAAGGCAGCATAGAAGGCTCGATATAAACCGACGCAAGCTGGAGGACAGGAGAACGTGCGAACGGAAACACGGGCATATTACCAGCGCTAGAAGACTGACTTCGAGAAACCAGGCCATCAGCGCGGAAGAGACACCCCCAGCACTATGTAGAAGAGGGCTCTCACTACCACGACCTGCCCGTCACGGCGACCTGCTCCGAGTGCCCACAGCAGCCCAACAAAGGCAACACCCGCAGGCAGTATTACGCGACGATCGGCCGCTTGTTCAAGTGGATGGATGTGACGGCGAGGGAAAGGCCCAAACACATCCTGCTAATCGCAGCAGGCGGCCTCAACAACAGCACTTGCCGTTCTCGCGAAATGGTCCGAACCCAAACGTCAGTATTGGGACGAGGACGAGCCCGCGAACGATTACCAAGAGGAGCATGACACAAGGCCACACCATTCGCGGACACATCGCCTAGCAGTATTGAGATCACTAGGCAACTTGGCGGCCCACGTACTCCGGCGAGAAGAGCGCAAGCTGCGAAGACTACACTGTGGCACCCCAGGGGCTGGCGAACAGCACGATCTCACAGGGACCTCCTCTTCGCATGGGCACACGTATCCTGCGCATCCCTTGCCGAAAACACAGAGACCATGTACCAGCACAGGTCACATTAAGGTTACCGCTGCGACAAAGAGTGCACCAGCAACAGAAGATAACAAAGTGGGACAGACACGCACTGGAACGAGCAGCCCGACAAGGATACAACATAAACGAGTTCATCCGCGACCTCGTCGAGCAGAGCGTGGAGCAGCGTGAACCAACGGGTAAAGGAGTAGATGCGCTCTTCCAGGACATTAACGAGATGAGACGATCATTAAGTCAGCCCAGAAGCATCACGGACCCCAACCGGCGACCAAGCAAGGGGAACTAAAACGCCAACGCGTGGGCTTGCTAAGACGTCGACGCGAAGGAAGAGCAGAGCTAAAACAACGCGGCCCACTCCCCACGATCGCGATCGACACCGCCAACCCAATCAAAGCCAGGGTGGAGTACGCCACGAACACTAGCACCGAGGCCCACCGCCATGGCGCACCGACCTCGCCGCCACAACTCCCCCAGGAGTCAGGAGGGGCCAGGCCAGGATTTGTCGCTGAGAATAACCTGGGAGCCCCGCCGAGCCCCGAGGGCGGGATGGGCAGCGAAGGGGACAGACCTGACGCCGAAGAGGAGGAAGTAGTTTAGCCCGAACCCAGCGAGTCAGAGATTATGTTTCGACAGATAGAGCCCGAGCTCAAGCTGATCACCGGCAGGACGCAGGGCTACGAAAGATAGAGTACCAGAAAGGGAAGGATGCCAGGGTCGAGGAGCTGCACGAGACATGGGAGAAAAGAGATTTAGCCAGAGCCGGTCGCGCATCACGCCTTATCGCAGGAAAACGATACGGACTGCGAAATCGAGACAACTGGACGGCGGCCACCGCGGACCCGGTCAAGCAGGACTGACCATAATTTTTAGCCGCCACAAGGAGGCGAAGGGGGAATGCGAGGCGCGGAACAAAACGTGGAGGAGCTAGAGCAGATTCCACACATGGCGGAACACTATAAAAGTATTACGATAATGACTTAGAGGAGCTGGCGAACGCCAGTAGCGAGTTGATCGCAAAGAGCTCGGAAAAGACCACGCTACGCAGAGCAGCTCCACAGAAGGCTGCACCTCCAGAGTTCTGGCGGCTACTTCTACGCCACCCAGCCGAACAACACCAACAGCGACACGGACTGGGGGCAGAGCGCCAAGCAGAGCGGCCGGAAGGCTTCGAGGCTCTATCTTTAACCACACTGGCGGCGATAAGGGTCGGCAGCATCGCGCCATTTAGACGGCGTCAAAGCGCGGCAACAGCGGCGCGTATGAACGCGAAGGAGATGCCCCTTCCGGCAAGAGAATCGACCACATCATAGACCCCACCGGCAAGGCTCACTACTCAACAGGCGCGCGAAGAGACAAAGGCAAGGTGCACGGCGACCAGAACTACGGCTTCACTAGAGGAAGACAGGGAGAGGGAGCTACACTAATCATGGTAGTGGTAGAATACAGGGCTGGACAGGCAGGCAGGACTTACGCGCCCACGCTGAAGGACATGTCCAACGCCCTCTCGAGCGGCTCGCGGCTAACCACGGACGCGGCCAACAGCAAGACCACAGCAAAGGACCAATGGGACTCGGGAGAGCACTGGCACCCCCGATCCAAACTCAACATAACCTGCAAGGGCGCTGAAAAAGGGAATACGCATTAAGCCGCGCTGCGGGGGGCTCGTCGGCGACCCGCACGCGGCCCGCAACCCCGCGGCGAGCATCGCGCCCTGCATCCAAAGACGGACGAAGGACTGCAACGACGAGATCGAAACGGACAACCTCCAGCGCCCCAGAGCGATCTCATTATGGCACTCAGTCTACTTCGGCCTCGCCAAGTACGCCGACGGCCTCGGGAAGCCGACCCCCGGCGGCTACGACGCGAACGCGCGGGGTTTCGTGGACACGGTCAAAAAGGTGGACAAGGAGCCCAACGCGAGGCCACGGGGGACAAGACTGCGACGGCATCGGGGCAAGCAGGATATCACGGCACTCTTCAGGGCGAACGGAGCCACCAAGGCGCGCTGCAACCTCGAGAAGACACCAGTTGCAA